GAACACATTTTCTCTTCTAATTCAATGAGAAAGTGGGACCCTTTGAGAAACTTTTGACCCGTACTGCGCTATGACTTGTAGAACATTTATGGCATTCTATATGAAATAAGAACTCATTAATGCAAATTTCAATCAACGATGTCCAACAATACAACTTATTTGGATTATTCAGCCTCACTCTTGTAAAATGTTCTTCTTCACTAAACATGAACTGCTAGTGTTAATATAAGACTTAACCTAGCAGTTCATGTTTAGTGCATATATTTTATAAATAAGAGTTATCAAAGAAAAGTTCAATCTCATCCAGTTGCATTCCTTTTTTGGGTTCCTGTCCAGTTGGCAGCTGACTTTCGAACCTCACAGTCGGCGACTGATAATGGAGACCACTTTCCTGTTAAGGACGACCCTGTGGTTATCGGAAGCTCTTATGTGTTTTTGAACCAGCGCCTCCTAAGCCTTAATGAGCAGCTATTAGTGTGTTGTCTGTGTTGACTTACTCTCTCTGTACTGTCCACACAAACATGCTTCTATCTGACGCTGTTGCTCCGGACAGTCCTGACATGTATGGCTGATTCATATTTGAGTGTTTAAAGATTAAATGAAAGAGGTGGAGGGTGTGTGTGTGTTAAAGTACAACAGCACGGCACCGCGTCAGCTCCTGTCGCCATGGCTCTCCTCTCAGCCGAGGCGGTCGCCATGGCATCCACTCCCTGGCACGGCGGCAGTAGTAGGTGTCACCGCAGGCGAAGGAGAGGCCTTGCTGCTGCTTTGGAAAAGGCCACGGCCTCCCTCCGGCCACAGGCCCGCTGCTGATGTCACACAAACCGAGAGCTCGCCTAATTAGAGATTCCCTGCCTCCATCCACGTCACACATGTTGCTCTGCTGCCTCTGTGTGGAAATATATTTCTTCTGTTTGTGAGTTGAGGCTAAATTCAGAAGCCTTGCTAGTTAGATTTTGTGTGTGCACACCTATCTTAATAGCAGCACGGTAAATGTGTTAAGCTAACAGGCGCAAGTGGATGCAGCCTGTTTTCTCTATTGGATTTGTTGGTGAGATAATGTGATTGGGCCTAATCAATATCATCCACACAGACCTTCTCAGGGGATGGAGATCTTCAAGTCCCCAGTTTGCAGGCACCTCCCATCAGTCTTTCCCACCAGTGACCCTTCTGTTCATCACTTTGTCCTGGTCAATTGATGTAGAGTTGAGATAGAAGGCCACATATTATTACGATAATTTCCAAACCTGAATGAAACGGCTGAAAGTCCTTTAATAGATTCTTAAAAAATAACTGGTATACAGTCTTTAACAAAACTGTTTTCATTGTGTTCTCTGCCAGGCGGCATGGGAGAAGCAGATCCAGGAGGAGGGGACTCCCCTCTCCAGGTACTACAGCCAGTGGAAGAAGCTGAGGGAGAAGGAGATCCAGCTAGAAATCTCTGGCAAAGAAAGGGTAACTATCCAAAAAAACAGCACAGACTTATGCCTTTTGCCAGTCATGAATCTCGTCTGGCGTTCCTTTATGAATGCCACTTTATCTCAATTGTGTCCATGTGTTCCATGAATCCGTAATGCTATGTTGTGGATCATTTGACGGGCAGTACAGTGCATTTTACCCTCCTGGTTTTGTGTTCTGTAAAGATGGAGGATCTGGATCTCCCTGAGATCAAACGCAGGAAGGTTCAGGAGAAGAAGGTGGAGGACAAGAAGGAATTCAAGGATCTGTTTGAATATGAGAGTGGATCGGACGAAGATGACGGAAAACTAAAAATCAAAGGCAAGCTGGTGCACTCATTCACACTTCCACATTTCCCTGGTTGAACATTAGGCGGCGATGTCTCGTCCTCCAGGCGGCCGTGTTTACCACAGCGCATAAGCAAAGTCAAAGAGGTGATGACGGATTATTTTGCATTCATGGTTCCGCCTTGATCAAGATTTGGCTGCATGAGGCAGATTGCATTCTGATTAAAACATCCACAGAGGCAGGAATTAGTAAAAAATAAAATTTCAAATCAAACCACAGAGAAAATGTCTGCTTATCAGATGATTTTTATGTCTCCAGTCTGATCTTTCTTCAGCCCCAGAACTCGTCCCCTCGGGGTCGTCCACAGGTCACAGGCAGCTGCAACCTGGCTTTTACAGCTTTACACTCGGACACGCTCCAAGCAGCACAAAGGCCTCCGCAAGGTCACGGAGGAAAGGAGTAGGCGGAAGGGGGGATTTTTTTCCCCTAAATGCATCTGGACTTCATTGTAGAGAGAGTCCCAACAAACGAGCGGGCAGCTGCCAGCAAGCGGCGAGCCCCCGCCTCTCGCTCAGTAAACCCCCCACCTCCGTCCTCCCTCCCTTTTGCTCGTCTTTCCTCAACCCATTGCACACACATACGAGCTGAAACCCCCCCGACAGGAAGTACAGGCTTAGATCCCAGCGGGGGTTCCTAATTCAAACCAGCCCAGAGGTGGCCGCTCCCTCTCCCTCGCTCTCTCTCTGTCTCTTTTTTTTTTGTTGTTTTTTTTCTGGCTCTGTGGGCTTCAACCAGCTGCCCCCGCATGTCCTCGCAACACGTGCACACACAAAGACATGCACACCCACACCCCCCCTGTCGTCCAGTCTAGAGGAGTCAAAAGCTTTTGGGCAGCTCACCAAAGCTCTTTGTGGTTGCACACACTTCCGGAAAATAGGTAGTTTGAGCGTGTGTGTGAGCGAGATGTCTTCCAGGTCATTTGGGGACCACTGATCTCCGCAAGTAGCATATAACCGTCAAAAAAAGAGTAGATGGGGATTATACATTTGTCAACAGAATTTCAGATAAGAAGGGAAGTCGCTAATGTTTTAATAGCCCTTATGTAATCTATGTGTGAGCATGTATTGTATAACTGTGTTCTGAGGAAGTAGCTCCGTTTTGCTTCTCTCTCCTTCACCCCCCCCGAGCATCTCATCACACCTCTACTTCAAAGCCTGTGGACCCCAGTTGTCCCTTTGGATAGACAGCGCGCACACACACCCTGAGTCCTGAGTATACCACAACATGCATTCAAACAAACTCCCAACTTCTCCCCAGTGCTCATTCGCTCTCACACTCACACCTCTCCCGTCATCCTGGTCGCCGTGCAACCTGCCTGCTATCTCCATTTGCTATATTTAGCCTGTGAGCATAAGATGTCTGAAATTGCCGGCAGTAAACTGTCATGGGTGTTTGTGCAGCAGCAGCAGCGGCGTCTGTAATCGACTCTGTTCCATCTCATGAGGAAATCGACGCTTCCAGCTGCCTCTGATGCCTGGCCCACATATAGGTGTCTCCAAAGCCTTCAGACGTCAGCGGTGCACCAACGCAAACTCGTGTCTGAAGAAAACAACAGTACACACAATTCAACAGTGTTTTTCACCATCTCTCCTCAGGGAAAACGGGCCGCCGGGGGTATGACGATGATTATGATGAAGATATGTCTGACATGAGCAATGATGAGGAAGTGATGGGCGGAGACTCTGGTTAGTACAATATTTCTTTTTAAAGCATACACAAAGAAATTTGTAGTGTTGAGAGACGGCTGTATTACCCAACATCATGTGCATGTATGCAGTCATTACGATGTAGCTGCAAGGATTAATCAACAATTTGGATGCAACATATCTTTATTTCTTTGGGTTTGCACTGTTTGGTGGGACCAAGGAAGCACATTCATGGACCCAATGAAAAGACAGAGTGCAATACACCAAAGCAGCACGAATATACTTAGCACATTAAAAAATACTTCGCATAGAATTAACATTTGTGCAGATTATCAAAAAGTGGATGCTTGACATTATTCTTAGATTCCCATTTCGCTGACTGACGTTGTGCTTCCCGTCTTTACTCTAGATGATGATGATGTAGATGAAGAGGCTCCTCAGCCGCTGTCCTCCTCTGCTCTGATAAAGCTGGCAGAAGGAGATGAGGATCTGGTGGAGGACCTGGAGCTATCTGATGATGACTGAAGTTCATTAATGTTCACCTGAGAGACGACGTGTCAACCGTCTATATTTAGAGTAAACCTTTTGTATTACTTTACCCTGTACAGTAAAATGTTCATGATGTAATGTGATCAAGATTTGAAAGTTAAAACATTTTTTTTTCTTTTTAAATAAACTAAATGAAAGTGCTTACGTGCATGTAGATGCAAAAGTTTCCCTGGAACCAGGTCATTTGTGTTCTCTCTACATGTGCGTACCTGTGGCCCGCCTCCGGCCTTAGTGAGGACGGGCTATTTGGAGCGAGCTAGGAGCCGGGCCGGCCAATAGGAGGGGTTCAGAGATGCGTGTGTTGAGCCCTGAGGCAGCAGTGCTCTGCCAGGCTGGCAGGGTGGCGTCTGATGGTGTGCCAAGACTCTCTGCCCAGGTGGTAGAGCAGCAACACAGGCTGGTCTGTTTCTGTGCCAACTCCTCGCCCCTCCCCCACCCGAACCGGGCCACTGTGTGTGTGTGTGTTCACATGCTTACACTACTTTCAGAGTCTACTTTTTTTTCCTTCTGCCATTATTCACCCCCAAATTAAAGGGTGTATAGGCCTTTGTTGGGGGATCGTCGCATGCGTTCGCTAGAACAGCACAGCTGTTTGACATTGAGAACCATTTCTGTGCCGTCACTTTTCCCCTGTAGTTGTTTTCAGTGAACACAGAACCTTGTGGTTCAGAGGCCCGGCCTGAAGCAAAGGGAAGTCCCAGTAGAGATGTGTAGGATACTGCTTCGGCTGAAGCTCTTTGAACGTGGAAGGTAAGTGAGTGGGGTCAGGTTTACCCCCTCTGGCAAAAGAGGCCGTGGCCTGTGGCTGAACCTCACACCCTTGACAGCTGGTGTTGACCAGAACCGGGACCCTCCACCCCATGGACCGCCTCCCCTTCACACGCGCTTCAGGAGACCACATCCTCCCTCTTGCATGTTTTTACAGAAGAACCGCAAACACCGGAGGAGGAAAAAGCGTATATACGTTGTCTGACTCAGACCCACAAACAACGAGAGAGAGAACTTGGTTTAGGATTTATTTTACCTGTGGTAAATAGAAAAATAGGATGAAGACAAAACTTTAGAAGGGAAATCTAGACCATTTTTAATTAATTGCTTGCGTAGTAAAAAAAAAAAAAAATTCCATAACAAATTCCAAACATTTGCAATAAGAGCTTTGTGCCTTTCTTTTCCCTGCAACCAAGAGAAAACAAAGTTAAAGTTTCTTTGGAATCCATCTTGAGGGCTAATTATAATACATGTCATAATCTGCTTTATCTACTACATCAAAAGTCCTATAAATATTTTTCCTCATATTTATATGCTGAAGTAGCATTCAAAATCGGAGCGAGCCTTACTTTTTTTTTTTAATGGGCAGAACAAAAGTATGAACAAAAATACCACCAAGTCACATTTTTTCTCCATTAAAGAAAACCTTATTCGTGCAACTATGTAAAAAAAAGAAAAAAGTACCACGTATGTAACCTTCAGGATATTTTCATCTTAATGATTCTGTACAATTTTGCATGTTTTCTACTTCCCACAGTAGTCATGCGAGCATACAATCCCCTTAAGCCGAACACCATAGCCACCATTAAGGCTTCTCCACTATGCCAGTAACTTCCCGTGCCACCTCATGTGAGGCACTAGCCTTTCCCTGTGTGACCATCAATGCAAAAAACAAAACAAAAAAAAATGCAGACACGTGAAACATTTTTCCAATTCCACATATCCAGTCATCTTTGGTATCGGGACAGTGGAATGCATAGTTGCAGTGATACGAGGGAGCTGTTCGGATCTGTTGCCGCTCAGCATATGCTGCTGTTGGGCCTCGGGAAACAAGCTGGGGGGAAAATAGGAAGATGACAAGAAGGGGAGGACGTCTCTCTTTAATTCCCGGATTCTTCGGGGCTCGTGGCGAGAGCAGTCAGAGAAGAAAGAGTGAGTGAGCAGGGCTTCCTCCAGCCCAGGAAGGAAGGAAGAGTATTCGCTAGCGTCTGACTTGCAAGAATTTCACATTTGTGGCAGGCCATCGCTCCTTTTCTTTTTTTTTTTTTTGGCAGGCTGTCTGTGACCAGCTGTCTCCTCATCCTCTATTTTTGTGTTCGTTCCCTTTTTTCCCCTCTGTCGCTTCACGTAACTCCCTTCCAGCCCAGTTTGTTGAGATTCTGCTTGGCTACAACCAATGCAGAGGAAATATTAAGCGGTTTTCGCTGGATACGTCTTTTATTCCAGTCCGATATTTGCCCCTGAATTCCAGCATTAAGGTCCCGGAATGGGGAAAGTCTGTCCAAAAGGGCCCCGGGAGTCAACATCGGTGGGTTGGGTTCCTCATCCCGGCCTGTCCTTTTCTACGATGGAGTTTTGGTCTCGTATCTTCCGGCTACCGTGGAGCAGTTACCATTTTCCCGCTTGGGGGAGGAGCACCCTGGGGTGGGGCCGCTGTAGGGGGAGGAACTGCTGCTGGTTGAAGTGGGTCTGTGGGGCAGGGACAGCGAGAGAGGCAGGAGTGCGTCAGATGGCGTTGTCAGGGGGTCCCGATCGCGTTCCGGGGGGCGCAGCGCGGCAGAAGGCGGAAACGGGAACGCCAGCGGGAATCCAGTCATGTAGAAAAGCCGGCCAACGCGCCGCGCCACCTGAGGAGACGAGAGGAGACCATACGACTGTCAGTGTGGCCCGTTGGGTATTGTGTTCTCGACTAACGCTGTATTTCAAACACGGAGAGAGAGAAGAGAGGCCGCAGAATGGGGCTGGAACCATCTATGCTACACTGGCAGTTTGACTTGGGCCTACGGACAGAAACACACATTCAGACACACACACACACACACACGCGCAAGTCCACACGCAGGTCCGTGGTGTGTGTACCTGTGAGCGGATCTTGAGGGCAGGCCCCAGCTTTAGTCCCATGGTGTTGAGCAGGTGCTCCTCAGTGAGCAGCGGTAATGTCTCTCCATCAATGGCCTGCTCCCGAAACACCTGGCGGAGAGACAGCCGCTTCAGCCAGAGCCCCGACATATACACACACACACACACACACACACACACACACACACACACACACACACACACACACACAGGACGCGCAAGCTGCAGACCCATTCACGCAACCTCTGTTCCAAAATGTTATGCACCCATTTTGAGTGTGTGTGGGGTGTTGTGTTATATGTCGGTGTAAGATAAATGTTATCTGAAAACAAAGATTCATGTTTTCAACAAGAAAGATTTTTTTCCAAATTTAACAACTAATTTAACAACTATTGATTTATTTTTCTCATTCTGAAACGTTTTGGAACAATATGAGCAATGTAAGGCTCTCCGCCGCCGTCACACAAAGCCCACAGACATGGCTTCTATCGGGAACAACAACACGGCCATTCGAGCATCCGCACACATTCACAATGACGCTGGAACTAACTGTTCTGTGGCTCAACTCAACGAGATGCCGTTGAAAGGACTCCAGAATGTTTGCAGCACGAATGATATCTTGGTCACTGCTCTGAGATTAGAAGTCAGCCTGCCCGCGGCCTCCGTCCCCTCCTCTCTCTCGCTCCGTCCTCTTTCCTCACCTGTGTGTATTCTGCACATCCAGCCAGGCTGCTTATGAAGCCACACACGTCCTCCACACTCCACTTGCTGATATCCTCCACAGGGTTTGCTGTGGTTGATTCCTCCCCATCCATGAAAAGACCTCCTACAGAGCCTGGAAGCAGCAGTGGGTGAAAATGATGTGTCAATATAACCGGGTACAAAGCGGCTATTAAGACGGAGGATCATCACGGAGCATTTCTTTGTGACGCAGAACAGGACTTAAACAAAATAAAAATGCATCTCAAAATATGTATATGCCTCCATGACAGCAATTACTGTAGGAGGAATTTCATTTTGGTCCAAACATCCACTTGGACTTCAGCATGAACTGCTGAGATGGTCAATGGTCAAGGTGACCTTTAAAAAAAGAATAATTGTATAATAGTTTGTGACAACAGACAAGACACATGTCTAAAACTTGAGGGAATCTCTTCATTTCTTAATTTGTGTCGCTATATAGGTGCTATATAAACACAGCTCATATCATCATTATTATATAACAGTAGGAAAGTGGGAGGAGTAGTGCAGGAACAGGGCAGCAACTCAGAATTTAATCCAGTAGCGAGGATTCAGCCGTGAGTTTAAGGTCCCCCCCAAAATTTCCCTCTTGAGGGATCAATAAAGTATCAATCTATCTATCTATGATTATATTTATAAGGTTTCAACACCATACTATCACTTTTTAAAGTACAAGTGAAGTTTCTTCTAGGATTTTTGCTTTAACATTTGTATTGCATTTTTATGGCATTTCATGACAGAAATGGGATTCCGTTCCATGACTTATGACATACAAAGCTATTATTTTGTATATAATATAATATTGCATATTATATTAGTAATTGTCATGTTATACTATGACTTTTTAAGACATACAGAACTATAACAATTTATTGGAATTTCTTTTTTCAAAAATATCCCTGCACTTGAAGTGGACTTCCATCATAAAAAGACCACGCAGATGATTTACTTGCTGAGCAAACTGAAAAAGGGGAACCTGCCTAAGAAGCAGTGGACAATTCTACACTGCAGGTCTGCAGTCTGTTCTGTGCACAGAGATCAGTGTGTGCTGATCGGCCCACAAACAGGACCGAGCCCGACGACAACGCACCGCCAGAACCTCAGATCGGATCAATGGTGCCGCCGCGACCTCAATATAAACCATAAACTATTTCAATATATAGACATGTTTACATATACATGCTGTCCATAATCACCTAGTTCATGTGTATCCATTACTTAACTTAATAAGATTGACTTTTTATCTTTACAGAAAACTTGCCTTGTACGTAGAACTTTTTTGTTGTATTTTATTTACTGTTGTTATTTTTGCTGGCTACACACTGGAGTTACAGTTCTCTCTATTCTTATTTATTAGTCAATATTTTATTACTAGCGCGTATTTGTTAATTTGTGTAAGTACATTAAGAGACATGCAAATACACAAAAACAAATACTCAATAAAGCTCAAAGAATAATTCTGATTCTTATACTGACCTGTTATTATTATTATTATTAAGGCACACTATTAGTCATACTACCAGACTTATTCATTGAATGTTATACGTTTATGATGAACTGACATTTTATAGGATACTTCAGTTTGACTTATTTCCTTTTTAATTGTATACATTTTTGTGATTTTTTTAAGACATACTATATCTTTGAATTGGCATTTTTTATTCTTACTATAACATATTTATGACATACTAACTACACTATAAAACATGGTGGCGTGCTCAACTACGACAACGCTTGAATTGTGACTTGCGACCATATATAACATACCATGACTTGTTACTATACTATGACTTTTGTTCACTTACTCAACATGACTTTTTAAGGAGTATCTTCAACAAACTATACTTTCACTATAATTAAAGACTGTAATCTGCACCACTTGTGGTGGTTGTGCTACTGCTGGTGTGATTTGGATCACACGGAGGGCAGATGCAAGGCCACCAGCAGGGAGACACTCACAAATACATTAATGGGTTTTATTGGTGATTTCTGTGTGTGACGGAGTCTCTCACCTGTGTGAAAGTAGGGGTTGGCGTAGGGGAATCCAAAGGGCAGTGACTGGGCATGAAGGGCAGGCAGGGGGGGCATGAACCCAGGGGGCAGGTGGTACTTGACGTCACCCTTGCCCAGTCCAGGCGTGAAGAGGTGGCGCCCGGGGGACTCCGTACCCGTTGAACTACAAGGGACGCTCAGTCTGCCTGAGCTCTCTCCGGTCTCCTTGACAGCGTCACAAACCGCCGTGCCAGCAGACTCTATGACGCCGCGCTCTCTCTGCCTGGCTTTACTGCTCGGCTTGGCAGCGACACCGTCCTGCCTCTCCTCACACGTCTCCGTGTCACTGTCCGAGTCCTTCATCTCCTCATCATGCGCCTCCCTGTCCCCCAGCCTTCCTCGGTCCTCCCTCCCTTCTGCGTGATCCCCAGCATGGTGCTGCGCCTGGGGGGCCCTGCGGGGGGCCTTCCTGAATTCGGCATCCGGGCCGGCGGCAGGTCTGTGCGCCTGGTTGTCTTTGGGTCCGGAGGGCGGTCCCGGCTGTTGGTGCTGGTGGTGGCTGAGGGACAGGAGGGGTGTGGCGGCCCCATGGCGGAGCACCATCATTGCATTAGAGCGGCGGACCAGCTCCTCGCGGAGCGGGTGGCCCTCTGGGATGTCGTGGAGGCTCCGCAGGGCCGGATGGTCGGGGGGCAGGCCAGGAGGCAGAGCCCCCAAAGGCTCAGAGCCCAGAAGACGCTGCTGCTGCTGCTGTCTCTGGTGGAGACTTTCCAACTCTTTCTGTCTCAGCAGCTCCGCCGACATCTCAAGTCTAAGACAATGAAGGACACGGGGACTTTAACGCACAGGCCAAATGTGTAAGACCTGAAGTATCACAGTCCCAAAATGTTTGCCCTCTCAAAGAAAACGGGCCACCATGAAGCTTCTTAATGTTACAACGAAAACGTAAAACGTAGATTTGAGCCTTTATTATTTAAACCGTGGCCATAGTTACTCTATTGTCACATACTGTTGCTTTCAATCAAACACACCTGGCCAGGTTTTGCTTCCGCAGCATCTCCTGTTGCCGAGCAAAGAGCTCAGCTTGGGCCGGTTGGAGGAAACCATAACCTGTGAATAGAAACAGCAAAAAAATATATGTGAAGAAAGGTTTAAAATAAAGAACTCATAAAACTATTCTAGATCGTTTGTCTGTTTAATGCTAGTGCTAGTTTAAAAGTAATAGTTCGTATTTTATGATCAGATCATTGAAAACGTGAAAGTATGCATGTTTATTTGTATAAGCATCCCCATTAGCATGATGGAGGACTCACCGGGGGCCTGGCAAAGAGCAGAGGGCATGCCCAGAAAAGGGGGCCGCAGGTGAGCTCCTAAGGCGATGTGGGGGGCAGTTGGTGGGGACAGTAAGGGTGGAGGGTGGGACATTTCTCTGTAGACAAAAATATAATAAAATACATTGTTAGATTCAGTTTGAATCTCGCTGGAATCTTTGCGATGACAAAAGCATTGAGCGTGGAGCGATGCATGATGTGTGATTCTCTACGTAACAAGAACAGTTGTCGACTACGTCTCAATCCCTTCTTTGTAAGTGTGTGTGGATTCTGCCGCGCAAATGTATGCAATGTATTTTTATCAGCGGAGCTCCAGGGGCCCCCACGTCGCCCCGGTGCCTCATCAGTCTTGTCACGCCGCAGCAAGCGCCGCTGGCCATTGCTGTACCCTGGACTGCAGCCTTTTCTTCCCCTGCCGCCTCACGCACACGCACACGGAACACACACACACACACACACACACACACACACACACACACTTGAGACACACACACATAATGAGGGCTGAATGCACAATGCCAGTGTGTCATGCTCCGACAGCTGGGGCGGCCCCTGCGTCTTGACCGGGGCCACGGGCTGAAGGACCTTCTAATTAACACTCATCCCTCCTCTCTTCTCTCCCTTTTCTGCGCCCTCCTCTCCAGTTCCCTCCCTCTCCCCCTCGCGCTCTCTGGGTTGCATTGAAACTGGTGAAAAGATGGAGCGTCCTGCAACCTCGGCCTCTGAAAAGGACTCTCCATTATTGGCTTCGTCTTTTGTTCTCCTTGAGGGGGGAAAGCGCCTCTCACCTTGCTCCCCCGCTCCCCGTCTCTTGTTCTTTCTCAACCATCGTTTTCAGTTCCCTCTATTTTTCTGTGACCTCTGAAAATCGGTCTTGTTTACTTACTTACTACCTCTTGTTTTATTTCTTTCCCTCTCCCTATGCACTTTCCCGCTTCCTGACTTCATCTCATCCGTTTTGTTAGCCCAACGTTGTCTCCTCTCTACGTCGTCCTTCCAGATTCTTCATCCCCTTTATTCACTGTAATCCTTTCTATTATTATTTCCCTATCGCAGTTTCTCTCAATTTCATGCAGATCTTCATGGGTACAGGAACATGGTTTTGAGAAAGAAGATGAAAAGCTTTCAGAGGAGTGAGGCATCTGCACCCTGAACCTTTGGAAGTGTCATGTGTGAAAGATGATGCTCTACGTCTGCTCTATGTCTTGAACCACAGCTGTGTTCTGTTTCCAGGACCTTTCCTGAGCTCACTGTAGCTGCCCACACCTCTGCTCTTTCTTCTCCTTTCCCTCCTGATCTCCTCCTGAGCCGCCGCCATCACACCAATCAAAGCTGAGCTGTGTGTGACTGCCGCGGCATAAAAGCACAGAGAGGGAACAAGCTGAAGAAAACAACTAAATCTAAACCAAGACTGGGACGTATGCTGCAAATATTGTTTTGCAACTGTGTTCAAATTAGCCAGCGCCTGCATGTCTCTCGCCTCACTAAATGGGGAGGGAAAAAGAGAGAGAGAAGAACTGCAAAGAGGGAGGGCACGCATACAAGAATGGTGGGGGCAGGGAGGGCGAGGGGAGGGGGGTGGGGGGGGGACCATTCATCGATCGCCTCCGCCGTTGAAATGTAAATGCTAATCGTATAACCGCTCTCTCCGGCGGTGCCTCGCACTCCAGTGGCAGCTCCAATTAATCTTGGTGAGGGCCACGGCGCGTGACCCGGAGCCGCTAGCCGGGGCCCCGCTCGCCCTGCTTATGTAATTACACCGCCCAGTGTGTAATCACCTGGCCTAATCCCCCGGGGCTAGCAATTAGCCCTGCGACGCGCAGCGCCACCGTGCTACGCTAAGGCGCCCAAAAAAACTCCCATCCACCTCACCATGGCTCCCGCATGCCAAGCCCCCCCCCCCTTCTGTTACTTCCTCCCTTTCTTCCCTCACCACGCACCGCCTACCCTTGCCTAGCGTTAGCTCGCAGATGAATAACGGTCAATTAAAGCTGCATGACTGGGGCTGCCAGGCGTCTGCGCCACCATAATTAGGCCTAATCACGGGGAGTGAGGGAGAAAAAGAGAGAGACAAGGCGAGAAAAGAGCGAGAGTCTGACACTCCCCTCCACTCCCTTCCTCCGTCTCTCCCTCGTTTTATAGGAGGCAATTTTAAGAGAGTGGCAGACATTAGTCGTTGTGCTCGTGTGTGTCTACATCTGTGTGATTTTCTTTTTATCTGCATTTTGTTGGCAAAACGGTACCAAAGAGATGAGGCGAAAACAGTTGTTTTTTGCCCGAGATATATAAATATCTAAAGATGAAAATAGGCAGATTGCAAAATGCCATGTGGGCTCACCACGCAAAATGATATCTCTCAATTCTCTCTCTCGCTTCCTCCCTCTCTCTTTCTCTCCCCCTCCCTCCCTGCAGTGGGGCCAGGGGCTCCTGGGGAATTCACCGGTGTGTGACGACCTGTCAGAGTGGCGACAGCAGTCCCGTCCCGCAAAAGCCCAGGCAATGTGAGTGTGTATGTGTGTCTGCGCATGTGTGTGTCTGCGCATGTCTGCGCGTGTGTGTGTGTGTGTGTGTGTGTGCGTGTGCGTGTGAGACAGGGCTGCCCTTAATGACGGGAGCGTGGGGGGATTAGGAGCGCCGCGCGGCCGCCCTCGGCTCCTTCGCCGCAGGAACACATTTACACAGGAAGCTCATTAAAATGGATGAGGCTCCCTCCACGCTCGTTCGTTCGTTCTCTCGCTCCCTCCTTCCCTCCCCTTATCTCTCTCTCCCTCCCTCTCTCGCTCTCCGTCACTTCGTTCTCTCGCCATCTCCTCCCTTCTTCTGCTTTGCTTCCTTCTCTTCATCCCCATTTTAAGCTCCCATGTTTTCCACTTCCGCTCTCACTCTTTATTTTTCTCCATCTTCCCCCTATTTGCCTCGCAGATGCTTGGTGAGCGTTGCCATTTAAGGCCAGACAAATGGAGCGCCAGGCTTTAAGCCCATCGAGCAACCCTAATGATTTGTTTTTAACAATGGGCCCTAATGGGCCCCGGATAATCAATGATGAGGGGTCGATGGAAAGGTGAGCCATGGAGAGAGTTAGAAAGGGGGGGGGGGTGTTCTCTTGTTTCCTCCTATTTTCAGGCGTGCTTTTTAATACAGTTAAAAAGCATCTCTGTTTTTTCCACCAATTAGCTGAAATTCCATTTTCTCCTGACTTCACACTCATTCCTCTATAAAGTCTCTAGCTAATGGTTCAGGTTTTTGCAGGTTCTGTATATTTCACAGAGGTTGTGAATAGTATTTAAACATGTACACTACATGGCCAAAGGTATGTGGACATCACACTCACATAAATCTATAGCATTAGTATGCTTGTACAACAGGCTTTACTCTTCTGGGAAGGTTTTCAACAAGATTTTGAATCCTGGCTTCGGGGATTTGCTCCCATTCAGTCACAAGAGAATCAGTGAGGTCAGGCTCTGATGTTGGGTGATAAAGACTGGCGCATATTTTGTAATGCAATTCACTCCAAAGGTGTTGGATTGGGTACTATTAAGGCCAGCGAGTTGTTCCACACCAAACTGAGAAATAGATTTTCTTAATGAGGGGCTGTTATTTTGAAAGATGAATGTTTTGCATCACCCTTTGTACGTGTCCCTTCTTCCTGCATTCTCTCATTTAGACAACGGTTGGACTAGTGATGGAAAGGGCACTTGACCGTTTTCCTCATTAATCCCCCTTTTTTGTTCAATCAAAGACAAAAAGTGTTGAAGAGGAGGCAGGTGGAGGTAAGGGGATTGAGGTATAGATAGATGATGGAGGAAGGGCGAGGCCTACCTAACTCTGCCTGGCCCTGTGTGGCTAATTACTCGGTGGTGTCGGGGAGGAGCCACGGCTCACTGACTACGTTCACATACTACTGGCCTCTCTCACATGCACGCACACACACACACACACACACACACACACACACACACACGAGCAGACAGCCACAAACAAACCAAAATTCGCATAGATGAGCATACATGCAGGATGCCAGTTTGAAAGATGGAACCAACACATGCAGAAAATAAGCCCCCCCCGCCCCCTTCTCGCCTTGACACACACACACACACACACACACACACACTGATATATATACATACACACCCCCACAGCCTCCCAGAGCTGCGCCACACAGCGCCTCTGCTTCCTGCTTATATCCCCGCCCCGACCCCTCACCACCCCCCTTCCATGTCTCACACACACAAACACCCTCCCTCCCCTGCTGCCGCACCGCCGGCCCATTATCGATCCCCCGCCTCTCCCCGCGCCACATAAATAATCGACAAGCAATTACCCGCCCACTCCCGCTGCCCCCGGCTTTGTTTGGGAGGCGCAGGGGCCAGCGCTGGGGGGAGAGGGGGGAGGGATAGCCGGGGTTGCAGGCGTGCAGCTCCATAGTGGTAGCCCGAAAGGTTATGGAATCCTTAGTTTAACTATGTATGTGGAGACTGCGCACGCACACACACGCGCACACACACACACACACACACACACACACACACACACACACACACGCACACACGCACACACGTGCACCGCAGCACAATGAAAAAGCCAAACATGAGATCAGGTCTTCCGGAGAAAGCTTGGAGCGAGAATGAGAAAAGTACAGCGTTTGGTGATGCAAGCTGGCAGTCGATTAACTTCTATTATCTCCCATCGACAAACTTTTATTCAGAAAGACCAAAACATTGTTTCATTTTGTGATTTCCACATTTATGTGTGCTCACATCAACGTGGGCAACCAATGCAGCACATGGGTGTGCATGTGTGTGTGTGGAGGATGAGGTTGTTGGACTTTATTAATGATGAATAACGCTCATATTGCAAGCAGGGCAAGGTTGGCGTTTCAATAGCAAGATATGGCCGGCCTGACGTAGACATTTAGTTTGCAAGGGAGTGTGTTTGCATTCCTTTCTCACCTGTCAGTGTAATGTGCGTCCCGATGCTGCGGCAGACCCTGCTTGCGTCTCTGGCTGGACGAAGAGGAGCTGCCCGCGGAGGGCAGGTGAGCTTCTAAGGCCCCTGGATTCCTGACCGCTGCAGCCAGCGCCTCCTGGCGAGCACGTAGCATATCTGAATACGGAACAATGAAACAAACAGAGAAAAGAGGAAAAAAGTGAAGGAGTGAAGAGGGGAGAGGGGGGGAATTGAGTGGGAGACAGAGAAAGAAGGTTAAAAACAAATGTAATATCCAGCTGGCCACGTCTGGGCAAAGGTATAACTAGAAACTCAGGTCTGGATTGAAACTTTAAAAAGTCAGACGCTTACGTTAAATGTGCATCAAACCGTTATAGGTATGTTTGCTCCCCTCCCCCATATATATATATATATATATATATATATGGTAAAAGGACAATGCACTTGCTCAGTACATTTTCTGCTCTTCTAACCACTTGAAGCTTGGTGACACACTGTCATTATTCGGAGACCCTGCTCTACCTATTTTCCTCGGCCGCTACCATGTACACGTACGACAGGCGTTACATAAAAGCAGACAAGGATAAACTAAAACAGACATCTTGGCAGAGACGTACGATATTAGCACATTGCGCTCAAGTCCATCTGTCACAATTTAGGACTGAGCTGACCAGTTTGGCGCAACTGTGAGGGGGGAAAAACAGGGGAGGAATCAGAAAAATGAAAAGGTGTGTTTTTGTAAAATCGAGCAACAATGACTTCACACATCGGGGGCAAAGTGTTTTACCGCTCCACACCTCCGTCACCATCGCACCTTCTCCTTCTCTGCCCGCCCCCTCTCTCCACCCTCTGCCCTTTACCACTCGCCTCATTTCATCGCTTTCCTTGCCTCTCCTTCTCTCCCTCTCTTTCTCTCCCTCCCTCTCTTTCTCTCTCTATCCCTCTCTCTCCCTTCCTCTCTCCCTCCCCCAGCAACCCCGTTTCTCTCTCGCTCTCGATGGAGAAGAGGCCTCATCATTATCAGCCAGGCCAGGCCACACCAGGAGACATGGCTTCTAATGAGAGAAAAATCCATTCTGCTCCCTCTCCTTGCCTCAATCTATCTATCCTCTCTCTCTCTCCGCCTCCCCGCCTCCCCCTCTTTTTTAATTAGACAGATCCCTCGGGAGCTAGGGGCCATTTCCGCCGCCGGTACGGGTGTGACGTGTGTTTGTGTGCGTCTGTGTGATTTAGGTGCTTGCATGTGAGTGCCTGACTCGGTGCGTGGGGCTGCGGTTGTGTGTGTGTGTGTGTGTCTGTGTGTGTGCGCGCTGAGGCAGTTGAGTGGGCGCCGGGGAGGGGGGGTGAAGCGACAGATATTAATGCGGCCTAGCTCCGGTGTATCGATCTGTTTGCTGCGCCAGGCCACAGGGGAATCGGCTGGCGGCAGACAAGGGTGTGTGTGTGTGTGTGTGTCTGTGTGTGTGTGGTTTGTGTGTGGGTAAGGGGGGGTTGGGAGAGATAAGGGAGGGACCGGAGAGGAGCTGGAGCCCCAGAGCGCACACACACAAACACACACTGTTGTGCGCTTGCATATGTGGTGCAGGGGCGACAGGGTGGAGGAGCTGACCTCTAAGAGTTTCCTGTGGTCACAATCCCACCTCACCAATTATTTTAGTATGACTGGGTCAGTTAGAGGGATACTCCGGTGGTCTAGTAATGCACTTTCATAAAGTTTAGTACTTCCAAGCAGCAGATTTATAAAGGATTGCAGAGATCGATGCTGCAAAGCCAAATATATCTTGTCTATACAGCAGCCAACATGGAAACAGGGAAGAAACCCTAACTTTAGGCTGCAGACCTTAATTAGTTAGCTCCAAAACACCGGCAATTCCCATAATGCAACGCAACACCATATTTCTCTTGACTCTCCCTGCCTTGGAAACATCCATGTCTTTTAAACGCTTCCTGTCGCGTCTGTAAAACGGACTTTGTATATTTCATACAACTATGTCCACAGGTTGAGTGCTTATTCAATAAACAGACAGAGCTGGATAAAACAAACGAAATACAAATTCATCTCGATAATTTGAATATATTTCTGCCCGATCTCACCTTGTTTCATTCTCTTTTTATCCAATATGTGTTTGTAAAGCTTCACTCCAACCCTGTAAATTTCTCTCTCTCTATCCACCCACCCCCCCCCCCCTCTCCTGTTCTATAATTCTCTTTCATGTGAACTGAGAAGAGCAGGGTCACCTGGGGCTCTAACCGTGTGTGTGCGTGTGTGTGTGTGTGTGTGTGTGTGTATACACAGAGTCGGTAGTAGATTTAGAATTTCCCCTCCAAAACTCTTGTGTTGCAGCTGCAGGAACACATGAGGAGAGTCCCTCCGTCTGCAAATTGCAGTCCTAACTGAGGACGCATATTCACATATATATTTTGTTGCACAAGTTATTTTGGGAGGTCCCAGTTTACCATTCGGACCCATTCCGCTTATCCCTCTTTTGTGCCATCCCATTTTTCTCCCCGCCATCATTCCTGGTGTTGAGCCTAAATCCCCTTGGTTAAGCCGGGTTTTTCTCGGCGCAAGAATGCATGGGAGGGCCACACTGATGCAGCTTGGCTGGCCTCGTGATGGATTTGGCTGACTGGCCGGTACACAAAGACCGAAATCCATCCGCTAAAAACTCCAATATCGTGGGCTAAACGAGCAGTGAATATGTGTTTGTTAATAAGTTTGTCGTACTGAACATCTTTAACCGCCAGGACGTTGACCAATCAAATGCTGGAGTTTTAGGCTCTTTGGCATGATGATAAAGACAAACTACAGAACACGAAAGAGAAACACCCTTCCATCTCACCCCTCCCTTCACTTTCATCTGGATATCTACCCCCACCTCTCTTTTTCTCTTCTCACTCTCCTTTCATCATATGAAGATGGAGGGAAAGGCCTCCCGGCCATCATCCCGCCAACTCTCCACCCCCAACCCCAATTTCAGCCCCCCCACTCCCCTTACCTACTCTTCTTTTGCCCATCAGGTGCAGAGAGGACCTCTCAAACAACACCAGCGCATTCATCCACACCCATGAAGACAGACCTCCTCCTCACCCCTGCCTCTTTCATGCACACACACTAATTTTCTGTACCCGACACTTCAAACACATGAAAGGATGCTCTGCGGGGACCAAGGCTAAAGGGAAGGTTGGAGGTGGGGGTAAGGAGAAGGAGGATGAGGGGAGAGGGCATGAAAGCAATGGTGGAGATGGAGACGTGTCGGAGAGGTGGTGGTGTTGGGGGGCCCAAGAGGGGGGCAGGAGGGGGTTACAGGGCCCCATCAGAGAGACCAGGTCAACGTTAAGGGGCTCTTGCTGAAGTGATTTGCGTCATCCTCTCAAGAGACAAAACAGCCGTCCATCTGTCCCACCTCCTGGATTGTTTGCGTCGGAGAGGGTTGCTTCCTTAACAAGTTCCAACTGTTAATTGGCGGAAGGTAGTCAAAGTAGTGATATACTGCGTTTTCTACATAAACTTGTAAGCAGCAGAGGAAGTGGCGCTAGAAGGCACGGCTGTCAGGCAGAAACACAACAGCAAATGTAAACGCACACATCTTAACATGAAGTTGTGTTTTAAATGACTTTAAATTGAAGTGAGTGACCTGACCACCATTAGTATACATAAACTTATATACTTGGGAATGTGGAAGTGAAGAAAGGAATTGACTGTGTCGATATTGCGTCTTTCTCATACAAGTTTTCTGGGAATGGAAGCCAGTGATTAGACTGCACCCTGGGCCATAAAGACCCCACAATACACTGCATCTACCCACTAACCCTCGAAGATACAGGGAAATGGCAATTAAGGCGCGCAAAGGCTTCGCCCCGTAGATTTGCAGCCGGCAATTAAATATCAGCAACAATTCGGCCGGGGCATCAAATGGAATTATGCTATTGCAAGCTCATAAGAGCTCATCTTAATGGCAGGCACAGAAAATGAACATTAGGCAAACTTATCAAATTCAAACAAGGCCAATTTTCTCATTTTCTTTTTTCCCCCCCCCAATCAAACTACATTGCTCTTTAGCTGAAACTAGAAACCTTAATGTGACTGTTGAAATTGAGAAAAACTGGGACACACTGCTGGTTTCCGGGGGTTTGGGAGATTTAAAGGGGTTGGCAGACGGCCAATGAGAGCTCCTACATCAATCGCAGCGTTGATGCCTGCGTAGCCTTGTGGGTGCCGTTAACAACGGAGGGCCAGGGCAGTCAGAAATCACAGAGGGTGACATTCTGACACAGAGTGGGCAAGCAGCGCAAATAGAAATGTCAGCAGTTTCCGTGGGCGGGGTTTTACAACGGCAGCGGCGTGGCACACACCTTAGCGTGTTCCCCTGAACACGGAGCATCACAGCGACTCGGTGACAGGTGACGGAAGAGAAGTTTTTACAGAAGTGCTTCAACAGGAAACGCTTTTTGCTTGAACTCAATCGCAAGATGCTTCAAACTAACTGAAGTTATTTCAAAGTTTGAAAAAGAGTGAAAGGAAAAATACCTCTAGATCTTTCATCAGTTAAACCACGATTCTGAATCCAGCGCGTACATACGCCGAGGTGTAACAAAATGACAAGAGGTTTTTGAAAGCCTGCGTAATGGCAGTGAGGATGATGACATGTACACACACCTACGAACACGGAGCCGGTGGACTGACCGGGGCCAGGCAGACCCATGCTGCTCGCCAGCTGGTAGAGCCGTTGCTGCTGCTCCTCAAAGGACCCTTGCTCGCTGAGCGCTGACATCATGCGCCTGTAGTGCTCCTCGGGGCTCATGTGGCCGTGGCTGCTGCCTGCCTCCACCACCGGGCTCCGGGAGGTCTCTGAGGAGAGAAGGGACACTTCGATCAACGGCTGTCGATATCCACATTATCAGGGGACAGATGCTGACGTGAAACTACGCAGTTTCAGACAAAGGCCAGAGGTCACTCATTTGCTCAATTTAAGTTCAATACCCAAAATCCCATTGCGTGACATCACTGAAATGAACACTGCTGTTCACCCCTGCACACTATATGTCTCAGTTTACCCCCAAAAGAAGCCTGAAGAAGTAAACAGAACACTAGTCTAGGAGTCTAACTTTCGTCTGAATGAGCTCACAGACTGCGGCTCATTTACCAGTTTGCTGAGTGGGATGATGCTATCGGTGACACACCGGTGTCTGTCCACAGCTAAACGTGCATTCTGCTGCCGCACTTTGCATAATTTTGAATGTGAATGAATGCAGCTTGGTGAGTTTGATTTTGTTTTTGCAAGATCGGATATAACGTGTATGACAACTTTGAGTGGATTCCCTGCTTTCCTTGCAGTTTGATTTTGAGTGGTGTGTTTAAAGGTTGGAGAATTGTGGGTTGTTTTCATTTAATCACACAATATCGTTTGGTCATTGCAGACACACCCGCTGGAGACCTGACTCCACTTACAAGAGTTTTTATTTAAACACCAGAATTTCCTTTGAGTCATTCTGAGAACTACGGCTTCGCGATTTGGAGGAAGGATGAACATTTGGTAACTTAAGAATTTCTTAAATTCAAAATGCACTAATTGCCATTGTAAACCTCATATACCTGAATTTTATACAATTTCTATCTGGCATTTTATTAATACTTCAATCTGCCAGTGCTTGTACACAGATTATTCACTAGGAAGGAAGCAAAGACGGCCTTGATGGACTGGAAAGTCCTTTGGATGAAGCTGTGCACATGCAACCATGCATTGTTAATGGTCGGCGCCTGACCCCAGGACGAACTCACCAGAAAGCACAGAACAACATTAATGTTGCTGTGAAAGGCGTTAAGTTGGGATCTTCTGTATTTTGACTATTTCCTAACGCAGAATACATAAAAGGCCCTGCTTCTTCCATCATATCTGTGTTCATGCGGTGTATGATATCTATCCAGCGATCGGTCCCCATACTTAATCTCTCTCCCTGACCTCCCTCTCTCTGTCAATAGTAACATGATCTAAGGTATGGGTGGTGGGGGCAATGAGGAGGTGTTTTGGGACTTAGAGGAGGGAGAAATAGGATGAGGAGGAGGGAGAAGCAGAGGAACGCAGGGGTTATTTTTACCACCCTCCCTCTTATTGAAACCTGAGCCTGGCCCCGGGCAGGCGAGCAGGAGTGGCGCTAAGGCGTGGAGGTGGGTTGGAGGTGGTGGCGGCGGAGAAGGCAGGCACGCAAGCATCTCCGTCTCCACTGCCAAGCTTCAGCTAATCCACCCAAGGTCCTGAAGTGTATGCGTGTGTGCACACACACACCTAGTCTGTGACTGTCTGAAGTTTTCTCGCTCTCTAAACACAGCATGGGGTAGCGATTTTGCAACAGAAGGAAAAACAGACACCATTTACACAGCGGCATCCAATTCTCTCTCTCTCTATTAGTCATTAAAGGATAGTGTCTGTCGTCAAACTTGGACAGCTTCTCTGGACAGCAGAATGCGCACACACACACACTTCCTCAGTAGCCCTTACCTAAATATATAGAAAATTGAGGAGATATGTAAGGCATATTCAGCTATTTTCTTTAAAAGCCCAAAACCAAACCATGCAGGCAAAGGAGCACAACACACAAGCCCCATTTGCCTTAAGAGGAAGCCATGCATCTTTCAGAAGCTGAGTTGAAACTAAATATGACCATAATGGCCGGGAATGAGTGCTCCCCTACTCAGATAAAGAGTCCACAGACGGGCGGGCTGATGTTGGTCAAAGGTCACTCAGGGGGCAAAGGTTAACTCCAGGCTTAGGCTGCACACTTAAATATGCACTTACAGAATTACCATCACCCATCTCATTTTTACACGGAATTTAACCAAAATAAAATAACGTTACTGTTTTTTTTTGTGAAGCTTACACATGCTTCTGGGGAGTGTGTGTCTTTGTGTGTAAACGTTGTTCCGTTGTCTCCGGAGATGAGGCTGGATGTGCGGTGAGCTGCCCTTGGTTTCGCGGTTTTGCCTGCTGTATAATGCATCAGTCAGGAAGTCTTCCGCAGGAGCCCAGAGGGACGGCTGTGCCGGCTCCTCGCTGGGCGCCTGGTTTCTCGCCGCATGAGGGAAATATGAATAATAGAGGATGGCGACCGGATCGCAGCGCAACAGCGGGGAACTGTCCTGCTAACGTATGTCTTTATGTTGTTCCCATGTCATATATAGAGAGCCGATGAAAAGACAACAAACTATTTTATAGCAAAAAGTATATTCCATCAACAGGGGCCATTGTCTAACCTATTGTAACATTTAAATACTATATTAGTGTGTTCGGTGTTTGGAGTTACCCTAGGCCTTTCCCCACCCTGTAGAATATGTTTTCTTGTTAAAATATTGGTTGTCATTGGAACTATTTTCTGCTTTCACTGCTGATGTAGTCACACAGGCCTGTTGAGTGACCAGAGGAATTGTGAGTTGCAGAAAATTTTCAGCGTTTTTATTGTCATTTCTCATTGTTTCAGCAGCACAAATGATCCTTTTGAAGGGCTGTTGGTGTGGCAGCAGAATGTAGTAGTCAAAGATCAGCAGGTAAAAACTTGCATGTCTCCCTCTCCACTCTGTAGCTTCCATCCTTTATCTTTAACCCAGCAGTCCTGTCCGCATTTCCCACAATTTTCCCTTTTCTGTCACAGAACTTTCATTAAAGCACACGTGTAAAGTCACAAACACCGTGCATGGTCTTACCTTTGGGGGATACGCTACGCGACTTCTTGCTGTCAGAGGGACACTCGCTGCTACTGTTGGGGGAGAAGCTTCTTCTCTTTCCTAGAAGGTCATCTACACAATGAGAGAAAGAGCAGTAAGTGAAATGACCAAAGGAAAAGCTCGACATTGAAGCTCCGCTCTATGCCTCCTCGTGTGAGTGAGTGAAACAGAGCAAAAGACGAGGGAGAAACGTGACTGAGAGAAAGGGAGCAGGGTAAAGGATGCCACTGGCGTCTGGAGATTTGCTTGCTCTGTCAGGTGTGAGGGGGGGGGGGGGCCGGCACCGCCGTGGATGACAGATCCGCCTCATTCATTCACGTGGGTGCGTCTGTTTGAAGAAGGGCTCAGTCTCTCTGTTTCTCCTCAACGTCTCGTCTTAAAGTGTTATCACTATTCTGCCGCTCTCCTCTCGGCACTTCCCCTTTTTCCAGATGTTAGCACAAAAAGCTCCGTCTGACTGGACTTAAGTGCGCGAGAGCCTCTCAGCTGCTTGAGAAATCACTCTCAGCCTACATCACGTCTGCAGCATGTGTTATTTGGGGGGTTTTCTACCTCCACAACAGATACTCCCTTTTCTCCTGTTGCTGCCCTCCCCTCACAAACACACTTCTGATCGTCTTGCCTCATTTCTCATTTCTTTGTCTCTCCCTCTTGGTGTGCTTGAAACCTCCTCCCATTAGGAGTTCTCTCCCTCCTCCCATTTCCCCCAACCCCCACCCCCCACCTCCCCCTACCTCCTCCCCTGCCGCCAAAGAGGAGCATCTAGTGTACAATTACGGCACCCCCTACTGCCGCCGCCGCCGTCTCCTCCTCCCCTCTCATCCCTCTCTTCCCTCCCACCCGATCGCCTCACCTCCTACCCCCCCCCCCCATACACACCTCGAATCAATACGGGCCTAATCAGGGAGAGAGGGGATGCAGAACACATTGCATGCAGTGCCGGAAGGAAGGAAAAGGCTGTTTGTCATTGCGCTCTCTTTTTCAATCTGATACTTTTTTTTTTCTCCGAATTGGTTTCTTCCTCCACACAGACGGCCAAGCCGCAGCAGCAACTGCTTCCCTTCTCTTTTTTCACACTTTCTCTCTCACTTCTCAGTGTGTATTTATAAGGACCCCCCCCCCCCCCAACTGCCCCCTCCTCACGGAGAACAAATCTGTCTCTTTCAGTCTCTTTTCAACAAAGCAATTTTCCCCATTTGCACAGCATGTGTAAACAGTGCACAGAAACAATGAACACAGCCTTTGTTTTTTTTAATATGGTAATTTTGTTACAATACCCAATCAAACATTCAGCGTGGTTACATGGATTCCAATAACTGGCTTAGTCGGACTGAAATCAAATTATCCGTTTCATGTAAACACCTTTGTCCGACTATGTGCGGTCCGACTACGATCCGACTAACACCCCTGGATAACTCCATCCGAACCAGTTGATAGTTTGACTATTGCGGCATGTAACGGTGAATCGGATAAGGAACTGGACTTTGCGTCTTTGCTTTCGGCCAACGATTCAATTTATTCACTGCCATGTATATTGGGATAATAGCACTTGCCCCGAAAGATAGCATAGTCCGACTAAGCAAAGATTCCAATTATACCATCATGTAAACACACTGAGTTGGCAGTTTTTGTCATGTGTCCACTCCTGTCTACTTGCTACCTTAGCAACACCCGGACAGTCATCGACAGAGGAGTGAAGTCTGACCTTTAACCCCTAACCTATCACCCAAACCCATGCTATTTCTTCACTATGACAAGACACGGATCGGCAAGGACGGGACAGCGAGGCAGAGAGACATGTAGACGGGACTCCTAGGATTTTGTTTGGCTGCTGAAGGAACCCCAGTGTTGATGAGAGGGCGAGCGAGCACACAAGAAAGGGAGAGAGTGAGCTTCACTAATGATCCAGTGTTTGATGTTGCCTCTCAGGTCCTGAGGAGATCCACTCCCTATATACCATCTTAAGGAGACAGTGCAGGGAAGGCGGGACGCTAATGGACATACACACGCCTATTGAATGTATATCTACTTTTTCTGTCAGAACCTTTACATCTCATTCTGTTTTTCTTCTCATTTTCAAATCCCGTCTACTGCTTTTCTTTAAAAAAAAATAACTCAAAAAAATACGGCATCCGTCTTTTTGCTGGGATATTAACAAAGAAAGCGAGAATCCCATTAGTTAAACCCCCAAACACACCACATACACACACATACCCTCTCATGATCAAACGCATACACTTGAGGCGTCTCATGAGCCGACCTCACTCAAGACACTTCGTCTCCTGAGCGCCCGAGGGCCAGACATTTGAGGGCGGAAAGCTTTTAAAGCCAATTAAATGGGGATCTTAGAGCACCGCCGCTCCCTTTTGACGCCGAACCCTGAGCTCTGCTAGCGTCTATGCTAACACTTTTACTAGTCAAGTTTGCCACCCCGGGCATTTACCTACCACCTGCTTGTTAATACTGCTGGAGAACTAATGGTTATGGAGTTGACTCCTTTTCAACCACCCGGTATTCTAGCCTTTCCCTTAGTTCCCCGTTGCTAGTTAACCTCCTCTCTATTTGCAGTTCCTCCTACTTGGCGAACAGAGGGATGAAAACAGAAGGGCGGATAGAGAAAAGAGGAAGCCGCGGGACTTAAATCCCCGTCTTTCATGTGACACCACTGGGGCGAACCATCACGCGAGCATTCCTCTTCACTCTCGGATTTCCTCTCCTCCCTCAAACTTTAGTCGTCTTCCTCTGCACCCTCCATCCCATGCAGGGCGGCGACAGCTCCGACAGCCAGACTCCTTAATTCCTCTCTTACTCCGTTAATCTGTCATCTTTATCAGGCCGGTGAGGGGGGCTGTGGGGATGGGGCGGTGGGGGTGGGCGGGGGTGACAGGCGGGGACGCAGGGTGGGCCGCCAGCCGCAGCCCCCCGATCAATCTCCACATTACAGCTGACAGATGGTGCTAATAACTTATTGATCCCCCCCCCCCTTCGTGCGCGGGGCCTCGCCGGCCCTGAAAGCCCTGCTATTGTTTTGCATACAGGGCCGATGCTTCTGTGAAGAGTCACGGTAAGATCTCGAGGAATTGGGGGTCAGGGAAGGGGGAGAGAGGCGCTTCTGCTCACGCTGAGGAGAGGATGTGCCACCTCCAACACGTGCAAATGTGCACACTCAGTAACACTGATCCACTGTTTGTCGTGTTCTACGTCTTTTCAACAGGGAGAGAGTAGTCAAAAGAGGAGGAGAGAAGAACACAAATATAGAAGGAGAAAGAGAATCATGGAGAAAGATTTGTGTCAACTGACTAAAGTACGAGTGACCGTAAAGTGAAAATATAGTACATTGTCATATAAATAAATGTCCCCCTTTGAAAGCAGATAGTTAAAACCTACTGGCTATTTAGAGAAGGTTTTATTGTTGTCGCCCTATAGGCCTTGGTCAGGTGCAGCAGTACGTATTTCCTGTAAAGGTCTGATGATTAAAGAAAAAATGATTTCCAGCATCATTGTTTTGTTTTCCAAAGTTCTGATAGTTACTTTGAAAATGTAACGTTTGTAGGGGATTAAAATTTGTGCAGCACGAGCCCCTTTTGAGTTTGTCAAAACTGAACGTGCTTACATACAAAGAAAATATAGGAAAAGGAAGGAAAAATATTTTTTGGGATGGAAATTGAGTAATTTGGTGTTACCTACAATTATTTTTCTTTTTTATTCCAAAGGTACCATAAAAGAATTATGTTACGTATCAAATAAAGGGAAGAAACAATAAACAAAGAAAATTACGTTCTGTATTTTAACTTCTCTTCTGTGCTCTGAAAAGAAGAAACTCCTATTTTCAATATTTATTCAGCACTTTATTTGGGCGCCTGTGAATTTTGTCTTTTGACAGGAGCATTAGCATTGTGTTTAGGAACAAAACAATAAATAAACCTGAAAAAGCATTTTGTTATGGCAGTGGAATTACATTTCTAATAATATTATCTATTATAATATTATTTAAGAAATATTCTCAAATCTTGCTTTTGATTGTGTATGACAGAGCTAACAACCGTAGAAATCCCGGCGTGTTTACTTTTACTTAGAATTGCCTTACATTGCTAATCGAGTAAGTAGCTGGTAATATCTCACGAGCGATCCTCACTCTCAGTCCGTTTGAAAAAGCAGATCTTGCACAAACACGCTGCGCTGCAGATTCACACGCGAGCAAACATCTAAAACCAGGCATTTAAAACCACACATGGAAAGGTGCACACACAGAAATGTGCTCAGGCCCCAAACTAATGCTACAACCACACACACACACCGACCAGCTGTAACTGCCTCCGGGAGTCTGAGAGCAGGGAGCGGAGGGGCGGGGGGGAGGGGGGCGGGGGGAGAGAGCGGCGGCCCAAAAACACCTTATCTGCCCGTTTGAGTCTCCAGTCTGACCGCAGAGCCACGGTTTACAGTCTCCACAGGCAGCCAGACTCTCAGCGTCGGCGCCCCTGCTCTCCCCCTCCCTCCCCCCGTATAGCCAGCGGCTGGGGAGTGAGAGAGCAAATGAGGGAGGGAGGGAAGGAGAGAAGGAGGGAGGCAGGCCTCCTGTCTGTCCCTCAGATTTAATTAACGGCCCACTACGGCGCGGAGACGACCCGGCAAGCCTGCTTCCCTTTCCTCCTGACCCACACACACACAGACACACACACACACACAGACACACACACACACACACACACACACACACAAAGACGTCCGCCGCCATAGCTGCCGCCTGCCCTCCCCTGATACCACCACCGCATTCATCTCTCTCTCTCTCGCTCTCCATTTCTCTCTCTCTCCCCAAATGTTTCCTCTATCAATGCATCTCAGCCTCCGTTGCAGAATTTCCCTTTAGGTTATCCTTAATTTCCCTCCTATCTTTCTCTCACATTTTCTCCACAGTTTATAGAACGACTCGTGGAGGTGAAGTGACTGACAGAACAGAGTAAACACAATCTTGTGCGTTTACTGTCTAATTTATCTCAAAGTTAAATAATCCCCCGCTCTTAAACTTCAGGCACATTACACCCACCTTTATTTGGATGCAAATTTAAACCTTTGGTGATTTTTGCGTTGGCACACGTCTGCATAACTATGTGTTATTTGTGTGTAATTGGGCGTTTGTGAACGTGTGTGCGTCTAATTTCACTGGCAGACAGGGTTGGAGCCAGTGGCTGATCGGATTGGCCTTGTTTACAGACGCGCTGCGAGCAGCTTAGGCAGCCTGTTAATTCTCCCTTTGGTGCTCAAATGCAGAGATTTTAGGGTCGCACACCCCCTTAGCGTTGGCCACACTGTGCTCCCCTTTTCCTCCATCAACCCCCACCCACCCACCCACCTCTATCCCCTTGTGTCTTCCGCCATTACAATAACTACGCAGGGCTCTTATTCCCCATTACGTTCAGTGGCTGATTAGGAAGGTATTTGGGTGGAAATCCTTCACAAACCCGGGGTTTAAGACACTGGCGGGGTCGGCTGTTGAGCAGTCTGATACCCTCCACCCTCCACCCTCCACCCACCTCGGCTGATATCACAGGCACCGTATGGACAATTAATCTGGCAGACGGAGCAGCTGAGCGCACATAGGGTTGGTACGGAGGTGTCGGGTCTGGACTGAATATGGTCCTCGCCGTGCCTGTGGCTAATGTTATAATAAGGGACAGGTTGAATCCCGGGGCGACATTGGAGCCAGGTATGGTCTTTACTGATTTAATTAGGGGTGAATTTCAAAAAAAACATTTGGACAATATGAGGGGATCTTTACAACAAATCTGTTTTTCTTATTAATGATCAGTATTTTTCATGCTTCCTGTTTGCAAAAGTCAGCAAATATTAGAATACATAACCTATTATAGTGATAATATTTTTTCTAATAGTTTTGAAACTGATTTCCTCAGGTTGAGCGTTGAGAAAAGACAATTAGACACACATTTTAAATAAGAAATTATACAAGAGACTATTTTTAGCCATTTGTTGAGACAAAGCTGATAATCATCCACAAAACTCAGACCCTAAATATGACTCAAATATTAGCTCAAATCTGTTTTGTATCTGTCATATTGTCAAGTATTGACAATATGAGGATTATAAAATATGCAATTAAAGCAAGCATTTTACCTTGTTCAAATAAGGTACACAACAAGAACATTTGTCTTGAAAATATCTTTAAACAAGGCGATTTTACAAACATATGTCTTTGAAGGCGAAACAATACCCTCATGCAAGCTACTTAACAAATAGCTGTGATTAAAGGCTGTCTGTGTTCTCTATGTAAGCCGTCAGAAAAGCTCTTAGCATGTGCACACCATGGTTCCTCTGCTCGTAAGAAATGGGATTAATGGCAAACAATGGTATTTATTCAGAAGTAATTTAAAACAGGGGGTTTAACAAAAATCCTGCATTGTGGCAGAGAATGTGGGAAGACCATTAAGTGATCAAATTGAGAGCGACCCCCAGAAATGAGTAATACGCTTATGTTAAATTCCCCCAAATCAAACAAATTAGGGTAAATGAAGTGGATAATGAAATGTTTACACGAGGAGATGTAAAGGGAAGGCATATCTTCAGTCTAAATGGAAATGAAAATAGAGAGGCAGAGAACAAAAAAAGACCACATGCCGGCGAACCTTTAAACACACATGCAGCATCACTGGGGGTCCTACCTGTGTGTCCGGTACTGGTGTTGTGGTCGGAGGCTGACTGGCCCTCGGGCATGCCGTGCTGTCTGGTGTGGTGCAGGTTGGAGATGATTGTAGAGAGGTCACTGTCACGACTGTAACACACACACACACACACACACACACACACACAGAAGGGAGGATAAACACACTTAAAAGCAGCCCCAAACAACCTTAATTCAACAATGCAGTCAAAACCAGTGTGCGATAGATCAGCAGCGCATAAATTCATACTCATTCCGGGCACTATTTACCACAAAAATCCTCCATCCAGACAGCACAGTCTAAACTTTCTAAAATGCATACCTAGCCACAGACTCAGCAGCTACAAGTGGCTGTCCTATCAGCGCTGAGGTGTGTAATACACTCTGACAGACTACCGCACCCAGCACTTTTGGGTCTCATCCCCGCTCACCTTCCACTCCAAGATGTATTAACGAACATATTCACTTGCAGCGTAAAATCGGACTTTGCTCTTTTTAACTTAGGCCGCCGACTGTTGTTTTAGAGATAAATGGCAATTGAATAATCCATGCATCCATGAAGCAATGAACCTTTGTTACATGACACTGCTCTGGTCTTCTTATCTACTGTCATGCCTGCACTTCAACCCGGGGTCCTTCACAACAAAACTGTCCATCCAAGAGTCTCCTGTTCTTCATCACCAAAACAAAGAGCAGGAAGAGCTACTCTGCCCTCACGAAGGCTTCACCAGCCGCCTTCCTTACCTCCATCCACACCAGTGGACTCTAACAACTGTGTCATGGAGGTATTTTATTGTAATCTGACTACCATCCTGGTTACAAATGGATGGAAAGCATACAGAATGGCAGCCGTGCAGCAACTGTGAAGTTACAGTGTAATAGCAAACAGCTTGTGTGGTAGGAGAGATACAGGGTTGAATATGTTTCGGGTGTCTAAATATAATTTACTGTTTACCACATAGAGGAACATCCCGAAGCCCAAATGAACCAGAAATTTAATTCAGTTGGTATCAGCATCCTCTCGTGTCAGTGGGAACTTTGTTTCAAGGCTTAACCAGCAACTTTATTGAACGCAGAATCATCTCCGATGGGGGTCTGGTATGACACAGCGAGCCCAGTTTATGGGACAGAAGCGGTGAAGGGTTCTTAGCTGCCACCACTATGACGAGGCCACACCATTTGCGGCTGCTGGATTTGGGTTTTTACAGTCCCATGATTACAGGCTCCTGCTGTAATGTCAGGCTGTCGGTTACTAAGCTGTTTTCCACACGCTAACAGAAAAGATGGAGGAAAGCCTGGAGGGCCTTAATGCTGGCTTCCCCGGTCACCTTTCAGTCATAGAGAACCAATGACTCAGACAAAACAATCTACGACTAATCTACTACCTGTTGCTAAGCAAGGAGACGCTTGATTGGGCTGTGACTTTGTGTTTCTAGAGTGGAACTTACTCAAATTAGAAGCGATGCCAATGTTTTTAGTTTTTACAAAAACAAAATGAGATGCATGTCATGTAATAATGCATCTGTGTCACGTGGTGACAACACAGCACACATCACACACACTGCAGTTCCACTCTATCCACTGTAAGAAACTGCAGCCGAATCCATCAACCGGCTAGCTGCGAACACCACCCTCTGTCCGTCATTTAAAGTGATCACGATAATGCCATCGTGAACTTCTCAGAGAGGTGATGGGGTTGTTATCCCGGCGGCAAAGTAGCCGCTCTAAGCCACGAACGGCAAGGACATTGTTAGTCGCGGGTGATTAGCACACTTTTTCCTGAGCCGTCCCGCCTCGGCTCGGGCTAATGAGGTCCTGGCCCTATCCCTGCCCACCTCTGCCCTCCCTCAACCCCTCCACCCCCTCTTTCTCTGGGTGGAGGCAAGGTCACTCTCAAGCCTTGGAAGATGAGGGCAGGAGGTGGGGGGTGGGGTAGACGTATTTTAAAACCCAGTCACCTGAGTCAGCGCTCCCTAAGGAGCTCCTAAGGCCGGGGGTTAGCAGGGAAGGACGGGGGCGGCGGAGAGGATGGAGATGAGGGTGGGGGCGGCGTGGGGGATATTTTGTGGCAGTCCAGCGTGATACCAAAGGAGGACACGAGCCGTCTTATCGGCCAGGTGCACGCCAATCATCTCATCCTCAGCTCATCCCTAAACCGGTCAGGGCCGCACCTCTCATCTCCAGCAAGAGGCACGCAGAACGAGACACTGGGAAGACACTGAGAATCATCAATAAGTGAAAATCCTCAACGTCTGTCATGCTTTACACCCGTTTTACTGAGACGACGCCCCAAAACCTGTGCAACTTATCAGACACCTACGAGGGTTAGCGGTCAATTCTCCATCAATTTCTTATCAATTATTAAAAGAATAGTTTATGTAGCGATGGCAAAACAATCCATTTTTAATAAACTGAGCTCGGGGAATAGATGTGTTAAGCCCTTTTTCAAGTAAAATTTGATTAGAGTGAATATGTTGTCTAAACTTCTAAATGGAACTGCTCTAGGATTCGGATCAAAGAAGGCAAATGGCTAACTATCAGAACAAGCCTTCAATGCTTGGAAGTGTGATTGTCAATATATTTCAGACAATAATAATGTATCTGAATCACGTTTAAATAATTTATAAATCATGTATTACTTCAAAACATTTAAAAGAAACAAATATTGATTTGATTTTTTTTTGTTAAAAAGAGGTTGGGCTCTACTTCTACTTTTGCAGTTTCTTTGCAAAATAGTTCAAACAACATGAAAAAAAACCCTGTTCTTCTGGCAAAGGCTGTCGCCTCGGTATAAATGCCCAGTGGCGGCCTGCTGTGGCCTTGGCACGCGGCGCTGAGGTGGCGGCGCTTGAGGTCACAGTGTGAGCTGGCAGAAGCTGGCAGACCAGGCACCCTGACGCCATGTCTCACACCACCACTGGGAAAGTGCTGACAGACAGACAGCAGGGAGGTGAAGGTGGAGGAGGGGGGAGGGAGAGCGAGAGAAAGAGAGAGAAAAGAGAGAGACAGGTCGCAAGCGCTGTGTAACATCTGGTGCTCGCAGGTTTACAATGTACCCTCGTCTGCTCTGAAGACATCAGCACAAACACGGAGCCAACTCCAACCTGCACAGTCGGCCCACAGCGACATTCAAATAGTACCAGGCAATATGTAATAGTCATCAACCACAAAAATATGGTGCTGAGAAGTGCTGACAAAAAGAAGGAATCAAGTTTCTCCGACGGGAATGAAATCCTAATAAAAAAGTATTTTATTTAGGAAATACCTAAAAGCTTGAAGGATTATTAATCTTTTCCGTACACGGTTTACGCTTTGTCTGATTCCTACAAGCAACGGAAACACAATTGTCATGCGGCTCACAGCTGGATCGAAAGGCAACTGGGAACCCTGCAAGCAGAGGGTAATGAATAAATAGAGAAATAGATACATAAATAACTAAGAGTAGCCAAGCTTCACTTCTCCTTGTTGTTCTTCTGCTGTACAGGCTGACATGAGTCGATAAGGCAGCCAAGGGAGGAAAGAAAAGTACAATAGAAATAGAATTCGGTAAGTTTGCCATGTTGCATTTAAGTTCCCCTGCAATCAGCCTCGCACACGCTGCCGGTTTGACTGGTGATTTTCTCATCCTTATTATTTTGCCATATCTAAGACAAACCACGGATTACTGTGCTGACCATCCTCTAGTTGATTGGATAGAGCAGGGTTTTGTCTGTTAGCTCCCCGCGTGGAAACAACGAATGTCAGCTGCTGGCCAACGCCCAATCAACTACTAAACTGCTGTGACTCTGTTGCCATGGTTCCCGCCCGTGTAAACGCCACCAAAAAGTCTTGAAGCGGAAAGCTTCGCTAGCAAGCTATAAAACCTCCGAGCTCACTAATTAGTGCTTTAGGGGAGGGGAGGGTCATTTCCAGTCATTTCACACTGCCCCTGACCTCCGACTGGCACAAGGCAATGACACAGTTGTTCAATAAAGCCAGAGGACAAAATGTCAAACGCAACAGCAGCTAACTGAGCATCGCGGCCTTTCTTTCTCTGAGGTATTTGCATGTTATTGCACAGCTAGCAAGTACAGAGCACTATTAACAAATGGGATGCAATGCTGCTCCCTGAAAGTAGAGATTTTCACACTGATAGATGGACTGTAAAGTGAAACTAGAAAAACACTGTGATGCTAAGTAGTAATATCAGATTCCGTTTAATTTTTATGGATTTAAGCTTCCGGCTGCTTCTAATTTCACAAATCAGCCTCCAATCAGCATGAAAACCTGCAGCAGACCCACCGTGGTTCCTCTCTCTCAATGAGCACCAAAGCTCACCCTTAACTTTTAACTGGGGTAAAACTAAAGTAAAGCAATCAAGCGGACAACTATTCACGGCTGTAACCGCGTCCATCAAAATTACGCCCACAAAGACTCCATTCTGCTTAAGACACAGAATGATGAGATGGGTTGTTAGTAGGTTTTGTGGAATTCTGTGTGTTGCTTGTTTCAATCATCTTCACTCCCTTCCAATTGCAAGAGCACAGGACGAGATGGACCATCCATGTGGGTTCATCAGCGTTTGCCGTCGACAGTCATTCTATGTCGCGGCTTTTGTAGGAGGAAGCGGAGGAAGTGACCAACTTAAAAACTGAAAAACTGCTTTGACGGTTTTGGTGAATGCTAAAACTGGGCATGGTGGATTTCTTTATCTTTCTATGAGGCAAAAGTTGAAAGACAGATGTCCTTAAAATCCATGCGGGTTGCCGACAATTACCCAGACGCAGTCAGCACTTTTCAATCAAAGCCCATTCATCTACGGCCAACTGGAACCAACACTGAAGTAATGCTTTCCCTTGAGTAAGACAGCAGCTCGTATGAAATATTTAGTCCCCGAGATGAATCCATATATGAGTGTTAATGAAAGTCCGATGCAATCAATCTGCAGCACTGACACCAGGGAAATACCCCAAAAGTGATAACAAAACTAGACAGTTTTCACATTTCCGTTGTTGGGTTTCACAGGAGCCCCATTAGACTTTGGTTCTGACACCCCAAGCAGCTTCTGTGCACAAGTTATTTTGATAACAATTATAATGGGTTTGGCTCCGTGATATGGCAGTATTTCAGTCTGTAGATGCTTGTTCTGCAGGACAACCGCAGGTCTATGGAGCACCGTGTAAACTAATTTTCTGTAAAGCCAGCAAATATTAGCATTAATCTGGTTAATTAAGAAGGTGGGCCGGTGTGTAATGAACTTGAGAGGACGCCCGGATGAGAATAACGAGCAACGGAAGCAGCACTTGTTGACACGGACAGACCGATCCTCTTAATGCAAAACCAGCGCCCCGACCCAACCAAACAATCTACTGCACAGCTAACATCTTATACATATATTTATATCTAATTATATATGCTGAAGAATTATGCTGATTGCTGCTTTGACGGGCCCATGTAGATTAAAGGGCAATTTCTGTGCTGCCGCCAGCCTCGACGATGTGTGGATGAGACAGCGCAGTTACACTCACACATCCATACAGACGCCCTGTATTTTTCACATCCGTTGGCCAAATCCAATTTGTTAAGACCCTTCTACGACTCACTTACGAAGCTGCGGTCAATAGAAATCACATTTCCGTGATTGGACATCCCATTATCCCGTTCGTCCAGACTCGCGCATGGGGGGGGGATAAAGCAGGGCCGAGACGGATGCCCAGGACAGACCGGAGCTGCGGCTCCAGCGAGTCCGTCGCCTTTCAAAAGGGTAAAAGCCTGACATATTAGTCATAAGTGTTCTTTAAATTCATTATCATCTTAACACGCCAGGGGCACAAGTGTCAGGGGGAGGGGAAGCCCTGCAAATGAGGTTAGCAGATCCATTTAAAGCTTCACAGTTGCTGTGCTGTCCGCCGTGTCACACGCCAAGTCTCAAGACATAAAAAAAAAAACACCCCGTCTGTAATGAGGTTGCACAAGCTGCTCATAATGCAGCTGGGGACTTTCTCTGGTTAATCAATGAACAGCTTCTGCATCATATCTGTCCGTGGTCTGCCATGTACAAACCAAGTTATCACAAATCCATGTGATGCTTATGCAATTTTTGAAAATGTCTCAATTCCTGTCACTTAAAATGGATCAAAGTAACGATTGTAAAGAGAGAAAATTCATTTTTTGGGGAATTCTTATATTTTCCAATTTGTAGCGAAGCAGCTTGCACGCCATCAGAAAGAGGGAGCGCCGCCTCTCAAAACTACTACTATTTTTGGCCTTTAGTTAAAGTTCACATTTTTATGACAAACTCACTACTGCAACGCCTGAGAACTCTTCCTCATCCATTGTGATCAAACAGCCATTTACTGATGCACACTCAAATGCAGGGTTTGGTTTTACAAATGAATATTGAGGCAATATTATAATATCTCTGTTCATTTTAGTCTGTCACGCCAACGCTAGCCATTTCCTAAACATGTTCAAATGTTTATACGGCACAGCACGATATGCAATGAAGCAGACTCGAGACAGACTCGTGTCAAGACAGACACATGGAGACTCGGTGGGGGCAACGAACGCAAACCAACGAACCAATTAGCACGTTGGAGGACGCACCGTTCCGTAAGTCGTCCAAAATCACAAGCTGTACGTTTATTTTTGAAACACGCTTCATCTGCACAACTCAAAATGAGTCCCCGACACCTCTAAATTATCCCAAAAATATCTTTTAGTGACTTCTGAAGTGTCAAAAAAAAGGTCCTGCTTTGGGGGGAAAAAAAAAATTGGACAAAACGGGAATTATTGCGCTGAGTACTTTTTGACTAAATAGGCGACTAGCATTGTCATTTCTTCCTGTGGCTATTTTACTACACAACGCACACATTTCAGGCACCATAAAAGCCAACGCAATTGCAACATGCATCAGTGTTCACTGAACACACACAGAAACAGGAACAAAGGTGTTCAAAATAATATTCAGTCTTTTTGAGACCTGTCATGCGAGGAAAGAGTGTTTCGTATTATTTTGAAGAAGCAGACCGTTTAAAAAATACATTTAAGCGGTCTAGGATATAAACTGGTGTCTGGCCAAATACTGGCATGGGACCCAAACATTAAACACGCCTTGTTCCCAGGGGCCTCACCTCTTTCTCATAATACTGTAATGCAACTCGTCCTCTTGTTTGATGTGGGTATGATCCCCACTGGCTCGATCGCTGCCTTCACTGTCGTCGCTGCTGAAGATGGAGGCCAGCTCCTTCTTGGGCACCCGGTTGGGGGGAAGGGGGATGGTGCGTTTCTCTGCCAAGCGTCCTCGGTTCTGCACAGAAAGGCACACGGCAGAGGGAGACTTCAGCAAAAAGCATTTTTGTATAACCTCAAAGTATTAGTGACTAATATATATGTAATATAATATATATATGTATTAGCGACAAAGCATTTCTCCATTTGAAAGAGCCTTTTTCTATAGCGGCACATTGCGTTCTCTGGAAATGTAAACAGGACAAATCAAGACTTCAATGTAAAAAAAAAAAAAAAAAGAATTTTCCACATGAATCCGTATTTCATACTTTTGGTTTTACTCTAAAACCAAAGTGAAGTGGAGAAAAGTCAGTTGGTTAATTTTGCTCCCGAGCAGCCAGGAGAAAGCTGAGAACAGAAAGGACAAAGAGGAGAGAGGTGCCTTGGGGGCATTAGGCAGCGAAGCTGGGCGACCTTTAATGTGACCTGAAGAGGTCACTGCCGATTAACACGGTCCTATTACAGAAGATAGGAGAGGGAGCGCCAAGCAGAGGAGTGGAGACACAAGATGCAGAAGGGAGAGATTGAGCCGGGGGAGGAAATTGGAGCAAGGGAAGGAGAAAAAGTTAACAGAGAAGAGAGGGAACAAGCAGATGTGGACTTAAACGGGTGAGAGTGGGTGAGAGAAAACACCAATATTCAAATCCAAACATGAGAGAGAGAGAGAAAGCTGCACAGAAGTAAGGCCTGCCCGGTGTGGAGTGGACTTACATTTGAAACTACACCCCCCCCCCTCTCCTCTCTGTGCTTACATCTCTTCCTCCCGTACGCCTTTAAGCCCTCCAGCTATCCCTTCCACCACACGCAACCCCACTCCCTCCCTCCCTCCCTCACCCCTTCCATCCCAGGAAGTGCGGCGGCATGAGTGGCAGGCGGGGGCAGGAGCAGGGATGTGGGGGCTCCTAGCCAAGAGGCAAACAGGTGCAGCCCCTCTGGAGTCTCTCAAATGGCAGACATTAAAAGGAGTGTGTGGGGGGGGGGGGGTGGAAGAAAGAGAAAGATGAAAACATCCCCTAGGATGAGCAGGTCACAGAGTTCTGCACATTTCTCTCCTTTATTTTTTTTATCGTGCCTCTGCCAGAAAAAAAAAAAAAAGGTTTTCCCTCCTTCTTTTGCCACTGAGCTTTCTAAGTTCTGCTGCAGCGTTTAAAAGGACAGTGGATCACTTTCTAATACTTATGTTACTTTCCCACAAGGCGCTGCTGCAGGACGTTACCGCCGGAGCTCCAACCGGACGCGGCCGAGTGAGGAGACCGGAGCGTGACATCGCATCAGAACAACGCCGCCGTTTCATCCGTCAGGCACACTCAAGCACGACGCTCTTCACATTGTCAGGGAAACATAAAACGGCACATACACACTATCACCACACACACACACACACACACACACACACACACACACACACACACACACACACACACACACACACACACACACACACACACACACACACCTGTTGCTGTTCCTTAGAGTTCCCCTCCAAACTAAAGCAGGGGATTTTACTTGGAGCATGCCAGCAAAACCCTGTATACAAGAATAGTTTGCCTCATGGACCAGTCGTGACTGAAGCGAGTGTGTGCGAGCGTGCAGACAACCACCCACATGGCCGTGACGTACCCAGGCTGACAGCCCCCCTCACCCCCCACCGCCGCCCCCCACACCGCCTCCCTCCTCTCTCCTCCCGGAAAGCCCCAATCCTTTCTTTAGTGGCACTGACGCAGAACCGGGGGTGAGCTCCCACTGCTTCCGGCAACACTTCCGCAGCACGGGGGAGGGCTCTCCGAAACAAAACACGAAGCAAAACACACCCCTGGCAGCCCACGTAGGGCGCTCAGAGGAAGGGCGCCTGAGCGCTCAGGCACGTACGGGCACGCTCGCACGCGCAAGCACGCGCACTGGAGCTGAGGCAACCTTACTGTGTGTGGTCAACCTCCTTTTCGGCCATGGAAAAAAGTCTCTCATAAACGTCCCACCAAAAGCACCTCTATGAATATCACCTCCCGCGCGTTCTGGCAGTCTGGCGGCCAAGAAATATATCTGGACGTCACATTTACAGCCAAAAGACGACGCACGTACCTATCGATGCGTCTGCACCGGGACAAACTGACCAACAAGGCCGCCACGAAAAACATTCAGAAACACGTCCCATCGTATATTCACGCAATACACTGATCCACTGAATGTTCTGTACACTGGAAGGTTAAATTAAATTACCTTATCATACAGGATGGCACGGAATGCTGTTGGATTGAAGACTGAAGCACTGGATACACTAATCTGGGTTGACTAAATCCTATGAAAATGGTTTTGAGAAAAGGCCTGAGACGTAGACCGCTTTAATATGGTCTTTCGAGGGACATAATCTGCATATATTCTTTGGGGTAGACATGGGTAATAAAGGGCTCATATTTTGAATAAAAGCAATCTGGTGATTAACGATGCCGAGCAATGTGTTTGAACAGCAATATACGCCTCTTTTAGTCATTAGGTTGGCGTAATGAATGCTTTCATGCTATTCAATGGTACGGTTTTGCTTTTAAAAACAGCAAAACGATTTTGTCCTGAAAAACGATACTGGATAATTTCAAGGGCTACATGTTGGCCAGCAAAGGCGTTAATTTCAAGCAGGAATTAAAAGGAAATTAGTGTTTTCTTTTAAAATGTATTTCAGACTTTCAAATGAGCTCTTGGTGGAAAAAGCGGACTAATAGGTGTTTTTTTCCTCCTCTTCCTTCTCTGCGTCTTTCCTGAAAGGTGCAGCGCCCTGCCGCTGGCTCCAACGAGCATTAGCGAGCGTGCGAACACAAACACACGCGCGCACACACATGCAAACACACACACACACACACACGCGCGCAAACACAGCGGTAGCCGCCCGTGACATTCCTGCAGCTGCGGCGCTCTCTCTCCCTCGCACGCGCCCCCCCAGCCATCTCCCCGGGGGACGAATGCCTAATGAGTCACGCGCCTGTCTGCCGTTACCTCGCAGCGTGTGTGTGTGTGTGTGTGTGTGTGTGTGTAGGCGGGATGGCGGGCCGACTTGGCGCGAGCACACTAGGGGGAAAGGGGGGAGGGGGGACGAGCAGACGACAGAGAAGGAGCGAGAGAAAATAAGAATGAGCGCGAGGAGGGAGGCGGAGGGGGACGAAGCAGTCATTACCGTGCTCACGTAACAAGGCCAAAGCGACCTGCGCGCGCCTGAGATCAAGTTCTTCACGCGACTCGCATCGTCACTTGGTTCGGTCTCCTCACCTCTGACTCGCGCGCGCTGAACTCTTCACAGGTGCACCCATAGAAGGTGATTAGCTACTACTTGTCAAATGGAGATCGCTCGGTATGCAAACCTGATTACTGTGGATAATCAGGTTAGAGCAATAGATCAATTATAGTGTTTACGTGGTTCGTAGTAACCAGATTTACTCAGCAGCCCAATAATATAGTTGTGTTGTGTAAATGATGTGCTTCAAAGCATGTCTGAGGATTTGTAGTCGCCGGTAGAAAAGTTTCAACTGGACAACAAGGACAGAGAGACTGGGTTTATTTTTTGCTTTGATTAAATTTACCGTGCGCCTTTATACAAGATGTTTTACTTGAGATAGTTGTTATAATATGAATAATCCCAAAATAGTTTAGCAGTTTTCTTTTGCTTCACTACCATCTATTACAATGTTTGTTTATATAAACACCCATTTGCATCCGCTGCCCTTTGTGACCTTGCTGGTGCATTTTCAGCTTCAAAACACTGAACAAAATCAGACAAAGGCACACAATACTGTGTAGGCCGAAGAAAAGCGGAACGCCTTAAATCTGCCATATCTGGCTGTAATCAAATTAATAATCCGCCAGAACACATTTACCGCAATATCTGCCAGGTCAGGAAGTATCACGAACGGGTGTGAATAAAATGCTGTTATGTAATTAGAGACAGACTATCATTAGAATATAACGTGCATATCTATTTACAGGGGGTATAGGAATAAACACATTCTTCCACCACAAACACACACTTACCAAAACACACAAACATTTTAGAACAGCCACCATCATCATTCAGAAAGTATACTGTTCAATATTCTCAGAAACACACACACACACACAGACTATATCTTCTTAAACATTTGGTACATCAACAAGTGTGACTCAGAACCTAAAAGTGGTCATTTTGTGTGCAGGGCGTCTTGTGCCATGTTACTATGGGTCACCTGTAACTAAAACGCACTGCAGCGCTTAGCTTTTATATGTTCAGTCAAATTCTTTGAAGAATTCCGGCGGCGGTAGATGTGTATCATTTCTTTTATATCGCAGCACTGCCTGAGTGGTTTCACATGCAGCCATATGCACATTATACTTTACATATTGCACAAGGAACAAAGCGCCACCACAATAAATTTGCCTTGAGACCGAGAATGAACATTATCAAGTAAAAATCCTTTAACTGCAAATTTACTTCGCACTTTGCACACAAAATAAATTCAGTTCAAGGCTGTGTGAGAGAAAGGGGGAAGAAAACTGAGAAAGCACTGTAGGGCAGACAGGCATGCGACCAAGTACCCCAACTAAACCCCCCCCCCAAACACACACACACACACACACACACACACACACACACACACACACACACACACTCCTGCACCCTCGGCCCCCGCGCGCTGAGCAGAGCGGGCAGTTGCAGCCCAGTGGAGCGGCACAGGGCGGTTGGGGGGGAGGGGGTAGTGTGTGTGGGGGGGAGGGCGGTGCACAAAAAGCGAGTGGCGGCGGAAAAGAAGAAGGAGGGGGGGCTGCTCGGGCGGCGCTGGGAGGTCAGTGGCGGTGCAGTCAAGCGTGGCAGCGCGCCTCTGTCTCTCCCATTTCCCTCTTGTTCCCTCCTCCCTTCGTCTCGCTGTGTTTGGGGAGGCCCACCGACGCCTCCCCAGGAGCGCTTCATGGACAGGTAACGACTGAGCCGTCCCCCCCCCACCCTCCCCCCAGACAAACACGGGGGAAGTGGAGGTCGTGGTTGGTAAATTCAACTCATCTGTTCTCCTGCGTGGGCCCCAATTTGATCCTGACAATAACTAGTATGACACATAAAAGATCAACAAACTTGAGACAGCTTCTTTGAATCCACTAGCACGTTGTACAAAGTACGGTCTAACATGTATCAGGGCTCAATCTATGAAACATAAATACACAAACATATACACAACTTGAACAATGAGCATGAATTACGCCGGGGAAGAAAAGCAAAGATAAACTGAGAATACCCTCACTAATGCTAGCATTTTAAAAAGTACCCTTTATGAGTCTTCAATTGTTCTCGTGCAGACTTTTTAGCTCATTAGTATCAGACAAAAACAACACACTAAGGGTGGAAGCTATATATGTTTACCACGGTTTAAATACACATCATACATCCAAAATATGACGATCAACACATTCAGAATTGTAATACACCTACATATCGCCAATAAACCGCACATAAAATGTAGTGAACCAGTGTACTTATCAACGTACGAGTACACATACGACAGAACATCACTGTCTGCAAAGGCCTGATGTGACGGAACACGCATTTAACTATCAGGAAATCCCATGGCGACCTACAGTTACACACACACACACACACACACACACACACACACACACACACACACACACACACACACACACACACACACACACAAGATGTTAGGAGGAGGGGTTTTAGAAATATTGCTTTTGGCTTTGTGGTGATAAGCTGCATTTAGCCAATAGACAGATGCTCCAACTTAATTTAGCTGCCTGTTAACACGCACCTGCACCCAAACACACACACACACACACACACACACACACACACATCCACTCATATAGAGAGCGACACTTTAAGAAGAAGCTCATGTACACAGACAAACACATGGAGTTCTGACATTTGCTGATAGACACTAGCGGCTAAAGGCTTGTTGAACTGTTTATTTTAATGGAGTTATTCATGGATAGAACGACAAGCTAGACTGCAAGAGTTTTGGCTAGTGAGTTTTTTTTATATTCCAATATATTCCAATTTGTCTTAATCTTTATAAGCAACATTACAGTGCACATAACATTAGCGTTTTTATATAATCATTTTATATCATCTCAAATGTGTCCAATACTCAAAAACAGACGCAGAAATGCATGAACGTACTCAACCTGAGCACAGTTCTGTGCACTTCTGGGCCAACGACCGCTTCCAGTGTTACCATAGCAACATAACCTCAGCAACACACATGCAAGCACAAATACACAACACAGAAGCAGTGTACAGTAGGTAGTTCATCTAGAAAGACAACTCAACAAATCCCATAACCGCTCAACTTCTGTTATTTCCATAAATATTTTGCACTTTGATTTTAATTCTCTTTTTCCCCATTAACACCATTGGAAGTGGCATCATGAAAATGTCAGTCAGTCATCACCGCCGCCGCTCATCCCTCATACAGGGTCGCGAGGGGGCAGGGGTCAATCCAAGCCCAGTCGGGCGAGAGACGGGGTAGACATGAACATCATGAAAACTAAAATGAAAATGAAGAAAATATGATAGAAAATACTTTTGTGCAAGAATTGTGTATATGGGTGTCTTTGTGTGTCTGTGTATGGGTGTGTGTGTGTGTGTATTTCATTCCACTTTGCAAGAGGAGCCCTTGATTGAAAGAGGTCTTTACGAGCCGGAGGAGGGGAGTGTAATTTCCTCCCGGCCTCCGCCGGTTCCGCTGAAATAACAGAGCAGAGGAAGCCCAGCTCTCCCGGGAGGAGACGCGCGCACGAGCACACACATGCGCACACACACAGCAAGCAGGCAAGTCAAGCCAGCCGTTGAGGGTGTACGAATAATCACCGGCATGCACGTATTGCGACACAGAAACAAAGCAACACATATGTACAGTGTGTACATACAGAGCCGAGACCAAAAAAGTACATACAAGATTGAGTATTCTTTCGTGCAAAAGAATGACATCCGGTCCAAAACACACAAAATACGCCACAGCTAACAATTCCAATGGGCCACTTAGATAACAGTTTAAGTTGAGAACTCATTTAAGCACTTGATTATCACATAACATGGTTAATAGCTTCGAAAGGTAGTTATCCACATGCCAATAAGAGTGGATAAACAGCGTCATCGGCACATTAAATTGTACTCCGTTATAAACAGCTCGAGCGGGGGTCAACGCAGCTCATTAACTTCCACAAGCTCGGAGGAGGCAGGTGAGAAGTCTTCCCATCAGCGGCTTTGCTTTTTTATGATCACTTTCGTCGGGCCTACAGCGAAACAGGATCACTCAAAGTTCAGCCATCAAACTTTCAGAATCAATGACTGCATAAGGTGATTTGTGTAAGCAGGCCGGCATATAGGGGGTAGTGAGAGAGAGAGAGAGAGAGAGAGCTCATCAGTGGGGGAGTGCTGGCTGCCCTGAGGGGAAGTCACGGGGGAGAGAGGGAGACGCCAGTGCAGGCCACACAATCCCCTCTGCCGCCCCCAACCCCCCCTCCCCCTCCTCCGCCTAACCCTCAGCGCCTCGCTGCCAACATACTTAGCCTGTGTGTGTGTGTGTGTGTGTGTGTGTGTGTGTGTGTGTGTGTGTGTGTGTGTGTGTGTGTGTGTGTGCGCGCGTGTATGCAAAAGTGTCATGTTGGTATTCACTTGGTGGGTAAGTCTACGCGCTTCGCCCCCAGACAAGGAGAGGGAGAGAGAGCTACAACAACAACAACAACCTTGAAGCTCTCCTACCGCTGCTTACGTCAATAAATAACTAAGTTTTACTGTAACAGCTGTAATTGAAGCTCAGCTGCAGGAGCCGCAGCCAAAATCTAATCGCTTTGATATCTGCGATGAACCTGAACTTCAGCGAACACGCTCGAATCCTCCAGTAAAAAAATGGAGACCTATGCAAGCTGCTGGTTTAACAGCCTCCCTCCCCTCAGACGGCGGAACCCCGCGTGTGTCAGGGTGCAGGTCTTCATCTGTGGCTGTGAGAAATGTCACCAGTTTACCTGTATCACTCAAACACCTCCGGCTTATCTAAACCGCCTTCGCCTTGCGTGCCTCGCCCACAATAATCAGCAGTAGCCACGCTCAGTAGCTCGCTAAGCCTCTTACACCCTTCCCTCAAGATTAGTGCTTGGGAGCGACGACAGATGCGCTCCGTGGCGATAAGAGCACACGCGCCCGCGGGAGGCACGTGCACGCTCACACCTGTGTGAACAGATTTAGCGACGGTGAGCCGGCGGCGCGCTCCCTCAAAGCTGACACACAAACAAACAGGGAGGCGATGCTGTAATCGTGACACACCTGCGAGGCCTGCAGGGTTTGGCATTGTGCCCCTGGCCCGGGGACCCGCGGACGGGGGGGGGAGGGCGCACTAGGCAAACAAAAGTTCAGCCGCCAGGTGAGGAAACGGGATACGACGGGACAGAAGAGTCCGACCAACGGCGCCTAACGTCAAACGGCCACACCGGGCGGCTCAATGGCTCCGGATTAAAAGGCGGTTTGATACTCAGCGTCAGTGAAAGGCTGAAAGTGGATTTGATATTCATGCTGAGAAAGATTACCATCAAAGTTGGCGTGTGTGCCCGTTAGGGTCTTGATCACCAAGGTTACAGACAAAGACAGCGCTCCGATCCACACTCACCCACTGTTACTTGTACGTAAAGCTGGGTGACACAACACAAACACGTAGAGGAATGAAGTACGCCTCTTAACTTATTCTAAATGAATAGGAAATGTGGGCCATTTAGGAAAAAACAGTACAGATTAAAAAGACTATTATGGTATTCATCACAGCCAAGTCAAAACAAGACATTCGCATCCTCCAACGATGAGGCAAATTCTTGATTATTTCTTCCATGTTCTATGTGATGAATATCCAGAACAAAGACGTCGTCCCCAACGTTACTTTAAAACTCGTTTCCCACACAGCTTAACAAATCAACCCTACAAGTACACACATGTAACACCAATACAATGTTCTTACCACTGGAGATGAAATTCGACAACCTGGACAATCACAGATCGGCGGGTGCACCTGTAAGATTCCTTTGGACATGAGAGTCTTGAGACTTTTCCCTGGAAAAACAAAGAAGAAAAGAGTAAATATCAACCACAGCCAGCAAACTCATCTCCTCCATGACAGGCAATCAACTCGCTTGAGAATGGCCCCTTTTCTTCATCCCACCCTGTCGGGACTCAAAAGTCACATGTTCTCTGAAGGTGTCTAGTTATGCCTCAACTTTTCGGTCCTGAAGTTGAGTTCTTTGCCTCGGTCGTAGTGTAGTGAGCCAGAGAGACAGCAGCCTACTGTCATCTGTCTATAGGAATCGGTGCATTAAACTATTAGGCTACCATCTTTGACCTGGGGGCGACACCCTCCCCCAACACGTCTTAACGCGTGTCAGTTCTGCCTGAGTAACCTTGTGTGCGCGTGGGTTTGCGGCGAGGGGGGGGGGGGGGGGGGAAGCAGCGCGCACCATGCGGAATTATGGTTTTAAAATAATGTGCAAATGTCCACACATAAGAGTAACGGAACAGTATCACTACTGCTGTCAAGGTTACACCCACAGAACCCCTCCATGGATAAACGCAGATAAACAGATGAGCCAAATATTTAGTTGAGAAATGGAAATGTTTGCGGAAAAACACGTCTTCACATGTATCCAAAACAGTGTCGCTGAGTTGACAAACTAACGCGTTAATTTAAAAATACAGGATACTGGAACATGGCATGCGATGCGTAAAAGTGCCGCAGCACCAACCGGGACGATTCATCCAATAATGAAGTAAATCACATATATGTGATCTATGTGAACTATCGCGCATCAAAGTCTATTCGTCTAACGTGTCACCTCGGTCACGGCGCAGCCTCAACCAAGCGCCCGGTTTGGCCAAAACTCTTGTGTCCGAGCCGCGGAGGATCTGTCACCATGCGCACCGACCGCTGGAACCCTTTCACTCCGAAACCCGGCAACCCAACTTTGTGTCCGCAATAAGCAGCGCCCGAAAAAAAGTTCTACAAAAAAACGAGCCGTGAGAACGGCGACGGCTGTCCTTACCTTTGTGTCTAATACTGCGTTTCCAGTCCTTGGCGGTCTCGCGTCCACTGACAAACTGGAACTCGTTGGGGGTGAGCCACTCGCCCCTGTATTTGATCGAGGGTCCCTTACTGCCTTGACACAATTTGTTGATATAAAGCAAAGCCTTGTTTTCGCCGCACTCCACCTCGATGCACGGCTCCCCGTTGTCGAAGAAGGGCTGAAAGTCGGGGATGGAGGAGAACCTCTCCAGCATCAAGTCGTCCGTGTGGTGGTGGAGGTGCTGGTGGTGCAGCGCCGAGTCGTGGAGCCCCAAGTACGCGCGGTGATGGGCGAAAATGTGGTCGTAGGGCGGCGGGTGCGGGGTCACCACGGGCATGGCGGCGGCATTTAAAGGGGCCAGGTATTCAGACCGGTTGAACGCGGTCAGCGCCATGTCGTCCCCGTCCAGCCGCTCCTTCTTGATCGCGGGCATGTTCGCGGGTGCCGAGCGCCGGTAACAAGTGAGGAGCTGCTCGCCCGATCCAACTTCAGCGTCCTCTCCGGCTGCGAGTGGGGCTGAGCCAGACTTGGAGACGCGCCGCTTGGTTTTACGCAGAGACCCCGCGTCGCCGTGAGACAGCGGTCTGGTGAGGTTGCCGGATAGATTCCCATTCAGTAGTTTCCAGCTCGCAGCGGCGGCAGCGCTCTCTGCCAGCCTCGCAGCTTCCACCTCCCACATTTAATCACACTCGGTGTGTTAATACCTGACATGGTGAGCCCTGCGCGCCGGACATTGTGTTACCTGTGGTGACCGTCACCAATCGCAGGCGGCGCGTCTTTTTTTTTGTTCTTCTTCTTTTTGCCTTTGGGGAAATCAAAAGTAGCCTGGAGATTTTTTTTTTTAAACGTATATATATTTAACGAGTGGATGCGACATTTGTAGTCGAATGTGCCGTCTTCGAAAACAAGCACGTGGATTCGGTTATGGGGAGTTTACATGTGGCCAAGAACCAAATTCAACGACGGTGAAGACAATAAAAATAAAAACTGCTGATACATTTCTACTGTTCCTCAAAACAATGAGTGGCATGTATCGTTAACCAGAACCACAAGCCAAACATACCGGGCTCGATATTCTTAAGTAGTATTTGCTCGGCATTAATACAGTTGGAAGTTTGCAAAGAGTTGTTTTTTAACCCCTGTGTATGTCGTTGGAGTCACGCTGAAGTTCACAGACCCCGACCAAACAAGATTTGCACTCTCCGCCGCTTCTCAACTTGGCCCATTTAAACAGCGGAGGCTCGGCGGGAGCCGCGCAGAGGAGGGGGGACTGCGAGGGGCGGCGCGTCGGTGCGTAAAATGGAGGGACGGCATTGCGAGAGCATGAGGAAGTTAACGGTCATATTGCAAATTTATCCAAAACTCGTTATAAAAGCATAATAGTTATTAAAAGTCCCCCCCCCCCAATATGAGATCATACATGTATTCATTTGCGATATCAATACACACATTATAATTATTTATTATATCCCCCACCTCATATGTAAAATAACAGGCATAACCACTCAATCTATATTATTTTCAACTATTGCTGATCTTTGAAGATTTACTTAATTTATTATACTTTTAAGTTTTCACTATATGTTTTCTATACTCTGGGGCTAATAAAGGTTTGATCTTAATTAGCGTTAAGACCACAACACGCGTTTTATGACTGGAGTGACCCATGAAACAAATACTAACCAGTTCAGTCCTGAGTTTGGGTGGACATTTGTCCAAAATTTGATATTTGCTGCGGCAATATTCATGAGAATGAGAGAAACTTGAAGGTCAAAGTGCCCTTGACCTTTGACCTGTGAAATGGGACCAGTTCATCCTCGATACAAGTTGGCCATTTGCGCCCCATTTGAAGAAATTCTCTGCAGGTGAGATATAATATTCACAAGTTGAACTCTTTCTAGTAAAAGCTGAACTTCAATGTATTTTGTTTTAATGTTGGGTTTCAATCAAGATAAAGAATATTTCAAAAGGAAAGTTACCAAATATCGGCTACCGTTATATTGCAAGCGCTTGTTGCTTTAAATAAAAGTAAAACCTCCTCAGCCTGGAACCACATTTTCTGAAAGCACTTTCTCTCCAGACGGTCTGCAGGTTACGTTCCCCTGAGCTCCTGGAGCTTGTGAGCAGGACCACATCTGACCCCCATCAGTGGAGAACCACCCAGGTGGAGCCACCGCCGACACACGGAATAGCCATTCCAGCAGCGGAGGTGGGGTCCAAAACGCCGTGGATCAGGGGCCTATAAATCAGGCCAAACTGCCACTGACACACACACAGGAAGGAGGCCCGCCACACCGCAGGCGGAAGCAGAGTACGGGGAGGCGAGAGACCACAGCCTGGCCAGAACCAGTATGATGCCAGCAGCCGGCACAGCAGACACTTAGAAAAACACACGCCAGCTACCTCCCCAGAGACAGGGACGGGCCGAAGACGGACATTATTCCTCCTGGGAATGAAGCTGGGACTTGTGATGTCTCAAGGGAATGTAATGGAAATTGGTTGATCAGGAAGACACCAAGACATGTCTTACACTTACTACTAAAGAAAAGTAAAGGAAAAGAGGGACCTGGAATCACTTATCCAAGAACTAAGCTTTAAAGTTGAACAGTTAAAAAAAATAATCAAAAGGCAACATTTTTCAACCAAACAATTATGTCACTTCTTGCGATGTTGGTGAGTGTTCCAACCGGCAGGGACATAAATCATGGGCTGCTGACATTTACGGCGTGTGTTTACAAACCCGTTTTCCAGGAAGTGGAACACTACAGACGAGAAGCGGTTTGATTCTCTCTTTATCAAACCAGCCCTCGCCACATCGAAATGTCTCGATGGAAACATCGTGGACGTGTGCGTTGGTGCCGGAGGCTGCAGCGCAGGGAGATCCCTGATGAAACTGGTCATAAAGGGGACACCCGCCCCCACAGCCGGCTTTGACTCATTGGACCATCGCGGAGGTGTTCCCCAAACTTCTACAGTAATGACACAATTGTTGCGGCGCACAGCTGAACACATTTTTCCATCATCGCTTTCATAAAACCGATTGATCTAATGTGGAAACCTTATTTAACATGTGGTTCAACCTTTTCTTGCTTATTTCACCATTGTGTGGCACAGTTCTGAGTATCTAAAAAGAAACCAAAAACCAAGCACAGAAATAAAACTAAACCTGCTCATACATCTGGTGAATTTACAACGAATTAGGAAATATCAGTAACCGTGTTACAGTCACACGCACCTTGTTATGACTGTTATTTTGGTTATTATGTGTCCCTCACATGTCACACCTGAAAGACATACCAACATGTTGACCAGTTTAGTGCAGAGACATTAGCCTGCAAGCATTGATTCCAACAATCAGGTCCTTTTAGTGATATCTGTGATACAACGTGTAGATTCCACAGAAAGACTGATGAATTAGGAAGAAAAAGTTTTCCTTTTACTCAAATGAAAAACCTGAGGCTAATAAATATTAAGAGACTTGATTAGCTGGTTCCTTCCATTGTGTATTATTTTATTATGTTACATTAATGTTCACATACAGATGTTACACTGTCGTCAACATCACAATGTGTTTAGTCTATATCTCAAGATAATTTAATTGAACTTACCTGTCTTTTTGACAGTTTATGTTTATATACCTTTTCAATGAAATGGACTTCATGTTGCGGAAAAGTGAACTGAAAGTTAAACGAAAACGATACCGCTAAAATGAATGGTAACGATGACCTCTTGAGTCTTGCTTTCGGCATTTTATTCCACACTGGAAGAACATTTCCCCATTCTAAGAACATACTGACAATTAGAACTGTTTATAGTGATTGGCAGTTTACAAATGCAATGCAAATCCGTTGTACTGCAGTAGCATGGATACAATATTCACAGGCAAAGTATGGTGATCAACTATGATGATTATTGTCATTATTGATTAATCTGTATGTTCTTAATATCATTTAGCCCATTTAGAATGTTGGCAGAGTCTAAAAGTGTCCATGCAACACAACTCCAAATGTATGTCATTTTACAACAGTCCAAAACACAACAATATCTGATTTATATAAGAAAAGCACATTTTGTCAATAGAGGTATCACCACTGTTGGGAATTCTTTATCAATTAATATTAATTGAGCACCAATGGAGGATCTCAAACCATTTGTAGGTGTCACAAAAGCACAGCGACAGGACTGAACTTGGTAAACAATCCAACCATTCGGACCAGTTCACCCCTCATTCCGAACTCAGTCTGAAAACTAGAAAGTAAAAATGTCGAGTTCCGGCTGAAATCCTCTCCGTCCTCGACCTCGCGTTTAACGTCCATTCCTTTGCACCGCCCGCCGGTCGGGAACCCCCCTGCCGCGGCCCCCGCCTCTGCGCCGTTGTTGGCGGCGGCCCCGGAGCCGCAGCGCTGCCGGCGGGGGAGAGAGGTAATAAATAACCCGGGGAGAGGAGCGGAGACCGCCGGGCGGTGCACAGTCTGACCTGACAAATACTCACTGGAAAACCATCAGAGAGAGAGAGCCCACCCCTGGCGCTTGGAGCCAGCCCTTCAGACATGAGCTGCAAAATATATAGGCCCCTGCCCCTACTGGAAAAAAAGAAAGGAAGACAGACGGACAGAAGCGTCTCCGTCTCAGTCTCCCCCCCCCCTTCCCTTCGCTTTCCTCCCCCCCTCCCCGCCATCCACACCCAGACACCGCCGGAGACACGGCGAGAGCAATTAACTATTTAAAGCAGAGTATGAATTTCTTTAGGAGGCCTACGCAGTCCGTCTCTTCCAATTTCCCCCAAAGAAATAAAGCCAAGAGCAGATAAAGTCGCTGCAGGAAGTGGCCTGAAGAAAAAGGAAACTTATGTTTTGATTAATGTGTTTAGTGTTTAGGTTCATGCCAATTGACACAAGTTCAACTTATATAGATTTTTCAAGAGCGTAGTCTAGTTTCAGGAGCCAGTTTAGCCAAATGACAAACTAGCATATTCAATTATAAATACCTTTGCATGAAATGATTTTGTGTTTAGTCACTGACAATGCCGCTCTTTTAAAATGTGTACCTATTAGCCAACTAGTATGTCGGTTCAAACACAATTCAGTCTGCAGCCTACAAATCACGGTACTTCGAACAACACGCACAAATCCGAAAAAAAGGGCAGGATGTGAAGAAAACACTCCTTCTAGCGTGACAGTATCGCAGGCAGGACCTTTATCCTTCAATACCATCACTATGGTCCATGTTTTGTTTCTGTGTGTTTGACTTTTGTTCACGGGGGAGGAAGCCAATGACTCGAGATGTTTTTTGAACTTTTCACCTTTGTGTACAACTATTGCCGGGACCCGGAAGTAGCCCTCTTTTTTTCTGGCCTCCATCTGGAACATCATGACAGCGTGCGGCGCAAATGACCTGCAGCACGTTCAGCCTGTCGCTAGACCGAGATGTCCCCTTCAGACCAGCTCACACGTGCACAAAGCTGATTGTCAGACTTCGAGCCTCTGAACGAGGGAGCAACGTACTGACGTCAGCGCGGCCGCCGTCGAGCGGAGCTCCACTTCTGAAAATGCTTGTAGGGTCTGAAGACTCGTGTTTTTTTTTTTTTTTTAGACTTCTATCATCACTCAAATGAAGAGCGGAATTTAATTTCGCTTACATGCCAAATTGCTCTTGCGGATCCACAGAAGATAATCCATGAACCTGTTTGACAAGGAGACACTGTGAAAAATTGACTTCCGTTGTATCGATGTGGAGGTAAAGAAGGTTTGGAGATGAACGAGAATCGCTGGGTAAAAATGACACGGCCACTACGGTGTGACATGTCAGGCAACACGATCGTTTAGTCATGGCAATAGAAACACTTGTTTCTAACGTTACAATCAAACAATTAGCCAAACAAAAAATAGCAGGTCTGTGACACAAACTGCGATCTCCTGTGTGAATTGTAAGCGCCGCCCTCGCACACCCCAGACCTCCACGACCTCACCTCTGCCCGACCATGTCAAGGCCCAATTACCTTCTCCAGCACGGATATAATGTACCCGAAATCTGTGTCACGATGAAGATGTCGCATAACCAACCCATTACTGTGGCTACATTTCACATTTCTTCGCTGGGCGTCACGCTACTTATTATTTCTGCAGTTTGATCAAATCAGAGTAGAAACAGGCAGACGGCGCCTCTCGTTTCACGCCAACCTCCTTTTGTAGTCATTAAAACTCGTTAAATCTATTCGCTCCCCTGCTGCCTTTTGCTGACTCATTCCCGTGTTATCTGGACATGATACTTCTCAGGGGTCCCGGTCGGGGGATTAGCTCTCCTGAATTGGAATTTGTGGAATTTAATATCCGCAAAAGTCTGTGGGCTTTGAGTGTGCTTAGCAGTTAGCAGACACGGAGAAACATCATTAGCAGGGGTAGAAAATGTAGATTAGAGAGCTGAAATTCTGACGAGAGAAACAACTACTTTCGGCATTTCAATTCCCTCCATCTGGTGAAGGCGCTAAACACCACATCGTATTTCAAAACTTTTCATTGGTAGTGTGTGTCTCTAATGTCTCAGCTGTGCCGTCGCTGAACACCAGCAACTGCCTTTTTCTCCAAAACGGTTTAAGTCAAATTTCCCCTTCGTTTTAGGTTTCAAAACATTTTCAGTGTACGGCCCTGTAAGCGCAGACAGACCTGGGTGTTATTTATGTGGTGCGACCTCGGCCTTAAGCTAAATCTTCACCTAAGCACCCGACCAAAAATGTCCACCAAGAAAGAAAAAAACCCTTTAAAAACTGAACTAGCGTGGGACCAACGCGGTCCTCTAACTCCAAAATGTCAGAGTTGGCAAGCAGAAAGGGTAACATTAGACCCTGGCGGGCGCGCAGGCAGCCGGGGGTCGAGGCGACGGCGTGGAGGAGGAGGAGGAGGGGGAGGAGGGGGGGGGGGGTGTTATGCTGTCGTGGCGGCGCCCTTGGCCTCCCTCGGCGGATCCCGGGGGGTCAGGCGGCTGTCTGTGATCCCACACAGCGGCTCTTCCACATGGGATTTATTTTCTTGCTGGATGGGCAGGCAGGCGGCCCAGGAGGATTCTCATTTTAGACCAGCGTCTGTGGCTGTCAACGCCAGCCGACAGAGGCGAGCGGACACCCGACCCCGAGTATCCTCCCTCAACACTCCCCTTTGGACCTTCCCCTCCTCCTCCTTCTATTCCCTGTTCACACACAAACGCACAGCACATGGCCAGTGCACGCGCACACACACGCACACACACACACAAACACCGAAAATAAGGACTTCACAGCTTCTCATTTTGTCTAAATTAAACCCGAGGTGAGAAATAATGAAAATTAGAAATCCTTCATGACTGTTTACTCAGTGCTCACTTCAGTAGTCCTTAATCTTTGGTCATAAAGCACCGTGGTGAACTCAAAGCTTCCACGAGCGATGAGCCAGGTCTAGCAAAAAATGCACAGCGTCTCCCCTTCCTCCCCAGCGCCGTTAATAATTTGTGCAGTAAAAGATAGCGTGCCTCTCCGAGTTTGTGGGAGTTATTGGCACAGTATTCCCCGCCATATTTGTGCGAGGCAGTGATAGGAACATAAATTATTTCTTATCTCTTCCGCAATCCATTTTTCAAAGGCCTCACTCGGTGTTTGAAGGGTAGCAGCACCAGCAGCCGGAGCCCAGATAGCGAGCTGCATTAGCCTCCAAGAGATCCGACTTGGTGATCTCAAGCAATTCAACAAGAACGTAACTCATTGATAGGGGCAGTATCGTTAATGACCATAACTTAATACCAAATTAGGCCACTAGAACCCAACAAATGCATTGCAGAATAATTGATGATCAAAGTGGGAAGGACTTGAAGATTAAATTAGGTTTGATAAATTCAATTGTTTCTAAAAGTGGATCAAAGCGGACTCAGTGTGCGCCAACATTTGAAAGAATTACCACTACATTGTTATTTTTGTGAAAAAGCTTTTGTAGGAAGTTCAAAAATCTTAAATGAGCTAAGCTCCGTGCATTGAACTGATGAAAAATGATCCCTTTCTAAAAAAGAGCCAACAACAGCCAACAACCTACACCGAAGAGCTGCCTACGTGCTCACTCACAGGACAACAGACACAGATTGTGCATTCTGAATCGCGCCAGAAGCACGATCAAAGTCCCTGGACGTCATGAGCCGCTTCTAGTGATCGCCAAAGCCCAAGAGTGGGTCTCTCTGTAGAAAAAACAAAACAAAGCGCTAGGAAAGTTGAGAAAAAATGTAAAATAAATAATCACAATGACTGAGAAAGCTGATCCAGACCCACTGAAACCAACATCTCTTTGGGAACCTTCAGCTATTTAGACACATTCGGTTCATGTTAATTTGCAGAGAAGAAATTATAAATGATAAATATCAAAAAGCTCCTCTGCAAAGCATTAACGTCTGCTTGCAAAGAATAAACCCTCGCTCTCCAAGCAACTATTGATTTTTTTTTTCCCTGTGTGATGTGAAACCAGCAATCAGC